CTCCCCGTCCTCGCGCCTCCTCTTACCCAACGCACGCCCCACAGCCGCCTCCCGCGCCACCCGCCCGTCCATCTCCCTTTTCTCCTCCTCGCTCATCGGTGGGAACAAAGGGACGTAGTCGGCTTCGACGAGGGGCGCGGGCATCAGGGTGGAGTGGAAGGTGTGGCGGTGGGTTAGGGGGCGCAGGGAGAAGGGTTGGTAAGGTCCGGGAGCGGGTTCGGGGGCGGGTTGCGCGATGGGCTCGAGGGCGGGTTCAGCGGCGGGTGCGGGTTCAACGGGTGCAACGACTTCGGTAGCAGGTGCAGCGACTTCGGCGGCGGGCTCAGCGGGTGCAGCAGCGGGAAGCTCAGCGGGCGCGGCGATAGCTTCAGCGGGTACCGCAACGCTCTCGGGCTCCGCGTCGGCGGTCGGTGCAGCGTCTTGGGGCGCGTGCCCAGCTTCATGCCCCGCCCCCCTCCTCCTCGCAACAACCTCCGCGATCCGCGCGACGAACGCCCGCGCGCCGTCCTCCGTGCCCGGCTCGTCGTCGCCGTAGCCGTCCTTCCCGTCCCAGCGGCGCCAGTTGTGGATCGGGATCGAGGCGGGCGGGAGGGGGTGCGGGGAGGCGCTCGTGCTTGTAGCGGAGGGAGGGAGCGATGCAGGAGATGTAGATGGGGGTGGGGATGTGGATGTAGAAGGATGGGGCGGCGATGCGCGAAGACGAGCCTCCTCGGCGCGCCTGAGCGCCGCCTCGCCCGCCCTTCTACGCGCCTCGGGCGCCTTTTTCCTTGCCTCTTCATCTTCAGCAGCCTTCCGCCTTTCCTCCTCAGCACGGCGCCGCGCCGCCTCCCGCTCGGCCTTAAGCCTCTCGCGCTCCGCCTTGCGCATCGTGTCATTTTCGATAGCGATCGCGAGCGCGGCGTCGTCCTCGATCTCGAGGATCGCTTCGCCGCGCTCGATGTCGTCGTCCATCTCAGCTACGGCGGAGTTGATGGAGGCGAGGGACGCGCGGGCTAAGGCGAGTTTGTGTTCGAGGGCGGTGAGGTGCGCGGCGGCGGCGTTGGAGGGTACTGCTGGGTAGTGTGTCGATGGTGATGATGTGGTGGTGGGTGTGGTTGTGGATGGGGCGGGAAGGCGGGGCGCGCGCCCGAGGCCGGCGGCGATCTGGTCCTGGATGGCGCTTTCGACGGCGAGCGTCGTTTTATCGCCCTTCTTAACCTCCACCTCAAACCTCCTCCACCCGCCCTGCACCTCCCTCCACCTAACAACCCTCTCCTCCCCCTTCCTCTTCGCCTCCTCCTCCACCTTCTTCCCCCGTAACTCCCTCTCCTCCCTCTCCTCCCTAATCAGCTCATCCACAAGCTCCCGCGCCCGACCGACCGCGTCCCTGTGCGCGCGCCGGTTGCGGGAGACCATGATGGGATAGAGCTCGTCCTCGTGGTACGACTCCCTCTTGGCCGGTTCCGCGGGCGGGAGGACGAGGCCTGCCGGTCCTTCTGCGTACGGGAGCCGTTCTTTCGTGCCCATCGCGGGGCGTTTGGGCGGTGCAGCTACCGTTGCAACAGGCACAACAGGCGTGATAGGAGCAACAGGAGCAGGCGCGACGACCGCGACCGCCCGACCAGCGCCCGCGCCCGCCCGCTCCCTCGCCCGCGCCCGCACCTCGGGCCCCCACTTGCCCGCCTCGACCATCCCCACCAGCCACGCCTCCAAACACGCATACGTAAACACGCGTCTCTCCGCCGCCTCCGTCGCCGCCTTCCACCTTTTCCTCTCCTCGCTCTCTCCCTTCTTCGCCAATAAGGGCGAACCCTCGCGCTCGCCCCACACCGCCGGCACCCCAAACCCCTCACTCCAAACCCTATACTCCCTATGCTCCCTCATCCTTACCATCTCCACCTCGATCCCGCCCTCAACAGCGCGCTCGAGCGGTACAGTGCGTTTCGAGAGGAAGTGCGCGGGGAAGGAGAGGAGGTGGCCCGGGTGCGCGGTGTGCGAGGTCCATTGCGGGACTGTCTGGCCCGGGAGGATCGTCGGCGGCGTGTTGGTGGAGCGCGGGCGGACGGGGGTGGTGGTGGGGACTGTGTCTTGGGGGAAGGGGTCGGCGTTGAGGGAGAGGCGCGGGATCGGGCGGGTTAGGATTAGGGAGGAGAATGTCACGACGCGGAGGTCGGTGGCGGGCGCGTGCGGCTTGCGCAGGGCCGAGCGGAGCGCTTTGTTGCTGTCGTCGTTGGTGGTGGTGGTGGATGACATCGTGGTAGCAGAAATGAAGACGGGATGGGTGGCGAGGGGGGATATATATCTTTTCGGGACAATAGCGCGTTCGTGTGGTCCAAGCCGGTGTGGTTGACAGGCACCGGCTATTATTCTCCCATTGTTACCGCATTGGGCATAATGTATTCGCCACTTGGCGTTGATGTTGTATTTCGTATTGCATTGATACTAGATAGAGGTAGGTATGATAGAGTGGGTGTGTACAGAGTGAGCGACTAGATGCATGGTATGGTAAGGGTCACGACACCGAGATCCCGTATTCCTCGCTCCACCTCCCGACAGATAGAATCCTGCAATGGTACATCCTCTACCGTTCTTCCAGCGTGTTCCAGCTTGTGTTAGCAAGTGGTGGTGGCCGGTGATGGTCGAAGGAAGAACTGATGCGGCTGGGAGAACGCGCGCGGTGGCGAAGCGCGCGACGCCACACGCGCGCGGTGGCGAAGCGCGCGACGCCACACGCGCGCTCGAACGGCACCCACGATCATCTCCCTCGACCGCCAACGTTGAGATGTCGTCGTCCTGCTTAGCGCTCGCCGATCTCGCGCCCCAGATGGACGACGCCAACCTTGCTCATCACCACCACCAGCCTCGACACCACTTCCTCCCGTGCCCAAACCCAGTCTCTCGTCGCCGCTTCTCCCGCCGACATCTCACCTTCCCCCGCCGACCGCTCCTGCTCTCTCGCCAGCTACAACAATCTCAAACCGACTCGATCAGCACCCAATCATACTCGTGACCTCCACTGTCCACTGTCGGCACCCTCGCCGCTCTAAGAACCACCACGTTATTCTCCCGTCTTAGCGCCTCCGCCCTCTAAGTCTAAGCGAACACCACGCCATGTCCGTCACGCTCGCCCACGCCTTCCTCGAGGCGTACAACCCCGCCAGCGACCTCGGCGAAACGCTCTTCTGGCAAGACGAAGAGTTCGTCGGCCACGGCGTTGTGCCGCCGTGGTACGACACCTACGAACCCGCCGGCCATCCCATTCTTAGTCTCGACGCCACAGCCGTCGACAAAATCAGAGTCTTCGTCCATCGTTTCTGGGAGCTAAGATCTGTAGACGCAAAAAAGAAACTGATTACGAATCCGGGCGACTCGGATGGCCGCGAGGGGCTCGCGCACTGTCGCAAATATATCGAGCGATGTATGGATAAATGGAGAATCAACGAGCACATCGACGCGTACGTCGACCTACCAAAGGTCTACCACTGCCAAGGACCCGAGGTGCGTCAACCTTTACTCTCCATATTCTACCCAGCTAACCACTCATAACGATACCACACAGCTCCCGACACTCGAGGACTCCTACGTCCTCCAACGCCCCGAAGTGATCGACATCCTCATAAAGCTCTTCGGCACGCAGGCGCTCAACGCGGTCGACCCGACGGTTCCGCAACATGCGTATGCGCAGTTCGTGTGGCAGCTTGTGGCGCTGCGCTGGAACACGTATCGTAAGCGGCGGAAGGCCGCTGTGAAGTTGGTGAGGAAGCTTGAGGGTGAGCAGGAGGCGCTCGTCGGCGGTGCGTGCATAGGCTCTATCTTTTGCCAGCTCCATTATATCTATAGCCCTGATTGTGTTAATATAGAGCTCTCGGTCAGTACTCCCGGCACACTACAACCTGCCACACTTCGCAAGATCGACGTATGGACGCGCCAGACAGCAACACATATCAGTTATCTTCGAAACTTCCACGACCCAGCCAACGCAGACCTGCTCGACAGACTGAAGGCAGAGCTGCATACACTCCCCGCTCCATTACAGGGAAAAGCGTGACGGACATCGGCGTTCTGGGCAGTTCATACATAGTCGCACTACTGTACATTAGATCAAATCTAGTCACCTATAAGTATACAACAACTTCAAGTCATACTCGACGCTTGCACGGCGATCCCTCCCGCTCCTCGCCCGTCATGCATCATGACGTGCTAGTCTCGACCCGACACCCACTCAGTCGGCGATGCAGTCCCGGGCCCGGGTGCTTGCCCTCGGCTTCAGGGACCGGGCGTAAGTATAGTAGTGTTTCCAGAGATGGCGACATTCCGCACGTAGGTCGCGGATCCAGGCGCACGGCGCGCCGGCTATCCCCGAGGCCACCGCACGGGTTCCTCAGCTTCGCGGCCCGAGGGCCAAGTGACACTTCATACTGCCTCCTGTGATTTCGAGAGCCTGTTGCATACCTCCGAGGGCACTGATAGTACTAGTACAAATTTTCTGGGGCAATTTCGAACAACTAGCTTGCAGAGCATCACAAAATATAACCTCTAGACGAGAAACCTAGGGGTGAGAACTCGTAGTATCCACTCACTGCAGTCAAGCATACAGAGACAATAATAAGATATATTCAAGTAACAAGTAATACAGGATGTCCTAGGTGATTGTAGGAAGACAGCGAGCACAGGGTGGCTACGAAGGCTGTGTGGTTGGCCTGTAAACGAGGTATTCCAAGGGGGCGGGAAGATGGAGTTGTGGGCTTATGGCTTATGGCTTATACTACAGAAAGCGGGCATTAAAATTGGAAATATAGTACAGTGTTACAAGCGATTATCGGTGGAAGACGAGAAGGGTACAGGGGGTAAAGGGGTAGGGCATTTGGTGGCGAGCACTCTTGCAACCACGAGCTTGATAGGCAGTCAAACCTATTCTGTGTTAGCACATGTATACAGATTTGAAAGAGTACAACGTACATAGTAGACCTTCACCCCGATCTCTAAGTTCAAGACAGAGCTGAGCCTACCACCCCACCCTACCACCCCACCCCACCCCATCTCGGCCCTCAATCCCTGCCGGGCTGGTGCCACCCTTCTCAGAGGTCCAAAAATCTAATCTTCAACGTCCACAACGGCCTGTTGACGGGGATACGAGGAGGGGCGGTGATGGTAATGGTGAGGGTCGGGAGCAAGCGACGGACGCGAGGAGCGCGTTCGTCACGCAGCAGCGCGCGCCGCGTCGTCGGCCCTCGGCCCATCAAACCGCCATCAAGGCACGTGCCGACCTACGTGCGGAATCTCAAGACTGGTGTTTCCAGTCAGTCCGGTCGTGGGAAGGATATCCGAGACCAGCCCGAGGCCGCGCGCGCGTCTTCGCTCCTGCGGCCGCCCTTCCCGCTCTTGAACGTCTGCGCCTTCCACGCGTATCGGATGAGCCATGCCCTTGCGCATCTTCAAGAACGCTTGTCGCACACGCGTCAGCGACTGCCTGTCCCGCGAGTCGATCCCGACGCGTTCACACTCGGCAACCGCGAGCGAAGCTGGAGAAGACGCGCGCGCCATTCCGAATTCCGACGATGACATTTTGATATTGCTTCGGGTTCAGGTGTTGCGAGGACGGGCAACGAGGATGAGGCTACGACAGTCTATCTCAAGAACCCGGAGAGATACTTGGCTCCCGATGGCAGTGCGCTGGAGTTCGCGGAAAGGGCGCAGATGAAGGTGCGCACAAATCGTGTCTTTAATGTATTACCTGATACTGACGTTTCTTGTAGCCCATCATCTTCAACCGGCATATACAATCCATATCAATACACAGTCCAACGCGCGGTCCACGGACTTCCACCGGCACATCTCCCCCGCGCCAATACCTCGCTCGCTCATACACCACCTCTTCCACCTCCACTCTGACCGAACCACCTCCAATCACTCATACTATCGCAAACCGGCGCGCAAGACCGGTCTGATAGGTAGCCCGGGATCTTCGGTTGCACCAGCAGACGCGTACGGCGTCGCTACATAACGCCGGTGGTCCGTGGCGGGTGGACCGGATGGGCCGCACCTTCATCTTCAACCCCCGCTCAATCTGTACGCGAAACCACGCTCTTCGATCGTTCAGCGTCTGGCGGTTTCCACCCGCGGGAAGGAGACAGGCTTCTCTGCGAGCCAAGCTCGGCGTCGCGCCGTTCTCTGCGGGCCAAAGCGGCGCACCGTTCACACCGGAACAGGTGTACGAACCGCCGTCCGTCGTGTCGCTCTTCGCCCAGGCGCTCGCGAGTGGTATGCTGAGGAGCGTCTATGGTCTCGGGCGGGTCGCGTTCTTTAGGACGGGGAGAGTAGCGGGCCGCAGTTGGGCGATGCCTTGCGTTACTCGCACGGTACTGGGGTAAGTCTACAGGCATCCTACTTCATACGAGTTTTGATGTTGACTCGTTCATAGGTCTCGATCTTGGGGTGGGGTGTTGGGACTACAGAGCCGAGCTCTGCTCAGGCGATGACCCGGGCGTGCACCGCATGCACAGAAGGAGATGCTCTCGTCTTGCGTCGCCAAACTCGCCTTATCGAAGCGAAAGATCAGGCTCGGCCTGCCTATAATGTTCCTTCGCGTGGACCGTGGGTCCACAGCGCTCTTCCACAGGTCCCTCAACGCACAGCGGGATTGTGGGCGACGTCGTGTCCCGGTGGTGTGACGCCGTCTCTCTAACTTGTGGGCGATATCTATGACGCTCGGCTCTGCGACCGGGAGCGCTCGCGGGGCGCGGAAAACGACGCTGAGACAAATGAGGAGGGAGATTGGGCGAGAATACACGTTCCGAGCGCCAGGTTGGATACAGCGTGGTCCTCTGCGGATGCTTGGTATTGGGTGTGCTTATGTCTGGTGCTTCATTTGCATTAGGCAGTAGTCTGTACATCCTTGCTATACGTGTTAGACCTAGGGCATCACCCATATACTTATCTCACAAAAATGTATCCTCAGTTTTCTATGTCTGCTAGCTACTCGGTTTAGGTGTAGCGCTTCCCACACGACACGTCCATCCGAGAATCCACTGCCTCTATCGCGTGTCTACGCGCATTGGGTGAGGCTCTCCGCGCGTACCCTTATCCTGAAGCTGGGGTTCTTCGGGAAGAGTGCATGACACGGGGAGAGCTGGGGGTCGGTATGATGGGTTGAGGCCCAGGGTCGAAGGATAGAGGGGTCCGGGTTCAATGGAATGTGGATGCTGTACGTGCATATTAGCTAGAGACTCGCTGAAACACACCGAAATAGCTTCGCCTCTTCATACAACGATCTATTGTCCAAGGACCGCCATCTTAGAGTAGAGCCTACTTCCTTCAAACAGCCGGGGGGTCCGGTGTTAGATCTCGGGTTGTTGTCGTCCTCATGGCAGATGCACGGCTTCAATGATGGACGTTTGGACTGGGCGGTGCATCACAGACGCTCATAAGTCGACAGAGGTCTAGTTCGAGAGAGTTCGAGCATACGAGGACTCCAGTACTGAGTGAATCCAAACTGGCCAGCTTGGCTCTAAGCGTAGTTGTTGGGTTCTCCGCCTTTCGATCAAGGTCACAAGGTTTACCGGGGCTTCGCCCCGTGCCATCCAACAGTATCCAACCCGGACCAACCGGACGTGGCACCCCAATTGATCACTTTCTCACCGGAAAGTGTGCAGTCATAGAGCCACGGTGCACAACATCGCCAGCAGTCGCGTACAGTGATTTTGGAGAGTCGTGCCTGCAGGCACGATGCCACCCCGGTTACTGGTTGCTCGTGTCCAACTCGCGTCTTGTCCAACCTGCTCAGGACTCGTGCGTCGTCTCCTTGACAACTTCGTTCTCTACTATCCCAGCTTGGCTATATTGATGCCTTGTCTATACGTAGTGCAGTCTAAGCTAGTCTTAGCAGCGAACCTGAAGTATCTGAACAAAACTACAGTTGAGCATTAAGTGCCTCCGCGAGGGTTCTTATATCGCGCGAACTTGAGCACGTAGGATCCCCAAGGCCGGTACGGTACTGACGTAGCCTATGGGTTCGTCGCTGTCTCCGTTCTTGGGCCGCGGATTGAGCAGCGCTAGCCTTGCCATCCGAGATGCTACAGCACTTCAAGCCCGCAGTAGACCGACGAGAAAAGCACTTGCGCCGGCGGCCAACTGAAATAATGGGTTGGCGACGTGCTCGTCGACTCCTTGACAACGGCAGGATGACGTGCTCGGAGCACGTAGACCGTGCTCCAGCCGGTTGTGCGCTTTTTCGCCACCTTGACAACGGTGCATTCGACCGGAGCATTCGCAAACTGACCAAATGCGTGCATTCAAGATGCGCGACGAGCTGTTCCGAGCCGGGCGATCGAACAATGGGGCTGGGTTACCCACGGTGCATGGTGCACAGGCTTCAATGCCCCGAATCCGGATACTCCTATGCCAAGTCTGAGGGCGAGAGGAGTAGGTTGCCCACTCTCTGAAGATAGCAGGCACATTTAAGGTGCACATCGACAGACGACGGGAGAGGACAGGGGCTTATACGTCGCTCATACCACAAAAAGTGGAGATGTATAGGCTCGGACATGAAATTATCAAGATCGTGCATATGTACATGAATGAGGCACCACGTCGTCATGCTATCGCATCTGGCCCACGAAGGACAGATTGTCGGAAGGGTGGAATGCAAAGGGACATAAAGGGATGAAGCCATACAGATGTTCGCGCAGAGGAATCGACCGAGGAATAGGGAGAGCTCTGTTGAAGAAAATGTTAGAACACGAATGCGAAGTTTGAAGATGAGCCCTCATTACCATCGAGTGATAAAGGTCTGAGGACCACTGAGGCCTGAGGATGGGTATTTGAGGTGGTTGGCGGGCGTGGGCTAGACGATTCGTTGCATTCGTTGCACTGAGCAGGATAGGTGGAGATGATGATGAGCGGGAAATGGTTGGGGGATGGAAGAGGGAGCCGGGGAAAGACCATACAGCCAGGTAGATATAGCGCCGTTGGAATATTCGGCCGAATGCAGTGGGGTCGTTCCTGGATACGGGGCGAGCGGATTGTGAATTTGGACGACGAACGCACGGATGGTCCAGTTATCGCGTCGGCGCGCGTTGCCCTGACCGGTCACTCGCGAGCGATGGGCAATGCTTGGCAAGCAGCGTGTCTGTTGACGACGACGCCACAATGCCAGACCGTTGCTAGCGTCAGAAAATTGAGAGCCGTTTGGAAGGCACAGAGGCAAGACAGAAAAGGATGACGACGGGCAGAGAGGACGCGCCTGGACGCGCTGCCGCGTCGTGAAGCAACCGAGAGTGTGCAAACACCGACAAACAAAAGCCGGTCATCTGGGTAAGTTAGAGTCGATGCTGGTGAGAGGGAATTCGTGACGCGAGCCGCGACTCGGCCCGGGCCGTAGATATGTACTGCGACGCGCGCGCGAGGGCGCTTGCCTTCGCCCACCACGTACGACTATCACCACGAATGACAATGCGGTTCCCACGTCATGGAGTGGAAGCTCTACATGCAACTTGGCGCGCTGATTGGATTCAAGGATCTCGGCACCACCTTACCGGCCATAAGGACAGCAGCATTTGAACATGTTCATGCCGCACACTGGTCGCGCATCGAGTTTTTTAGCGTCTCTGTGCTTCCATTTGCTATTAATACTGACCTGTGCGTTTCATACACGTATACTCTGCGGAAATATACATCGCCGGATGCACAGCGTGTCTGTGCGCGTCAGTATTTATACCCACCCCTGCACTTCCTCGTCCCCTCACGCGCATAACTTCGTCGCTTCCTCGCGCCCAGTCCCAATCCATCATGGTGAGTTCCAACGTAGACCTGGTACACATAAATGACTGATTGTCCACACGATCAGGATGATGACTTCTTGTCCCAAATAGTAAATGACTCCAACTTCGTCGCTTACATGAAGGTCGCCTTGGACGATGACCCTCGCAAGCTCGGGGAGTTTATGTGGCTATGCTATCAGCTCATCGAGCCTTCGGATATTGAGATCCTCAACGAGGCTATCCAGGCGACGCAACAGGCGGTAGAACATAGCCAAGACTTAGGTCTAAGTGATCACTCTCAACTATACTTCGACTTGGGAGTTCGCCTCAAGGCTCGTGCGAACCTAACCCACTCCCTTGATGATATCAGTCAGGCGATGTCGGCCTTTGAGGCTGCTGTTGATCTCACGTCAGACGATGATCCCGACCAGCCTGAGCGCCTCAATCGACTGGGTGCTTCGCAAATAGAGTACTTCAGACGTGTCGGAAAGATCGATGACCTCAATAGTGCTGTCACAGCATTCCGTCGCGCCTTCAACCTCCGACCGGAATGCCACCCCGATAGACCGATGATATTGAACAACCTGGGCAGCTCGCTTCAAGCGCGCTTCAAGCAGACCGGGGTGCTTGATGATATCGAGCAGGCCGTCTCGTCGCATCGTCACACGGTCGAGCTTACACCAGATGGCCACCCTGACAAGCCATCGCGGTTCAACAACCTCGGCAACTCTCTCTACACTCGCTTTAAGCGCACCGGGGAGCTTGATGATATCGAGCAGGCCGTCTTGTCGCATCGTCACGCGGTCGAGCTTACACCACATGGCCACCCTGGCAAGCCATTGCGGTTCAACAACCTCGGCAACTCACTCCACACTCGCTTCGAGCACACCGGGGAGCTTGACGATATCGAGCAGTCCGTCTTGTCGCATCGTCGCGCGGTCGAGCTCACACCAGATGGCCACCCAGACAAGCCATCGCGATTCGGCAGCCTTGGCGGCTCGCTCCATGCTCGCTTTCACCGCACCGGGGAGCTTGATGATATCGAGCAGGCCGTCTCGTCGCATCGTCGTGCGATTGAGCTCACACCAGATGGCCACCCCGACAAGCCGGGGCAGTTCAGCAACCTTGGCGGCTCGCTCCACACTCGCCATGGGCGCACCGGAGAGCTTGACGATATCGAGCAGGCCGTCTCGTCGCATCGCCGCGCGGTCGAGCTCGCACCGGATGGCCATTACAACAAGCCAGCATATTTCGGCAACCTCGGCGGCTCGCTCCACACTCGCTTTGAGCGAACCGGGGTGCTTGATGATATCGAGCAGGCCGTCTCGTCGCATCGTCGTGCGATTGAGCTCACACCAGATGGCCACCCCGACAAACCGGGGCTGTTCAGCAACCTGGGCGGCTCGCTTCACACTCGCTTTCAGCGCACCGGGGAGCTCGATGATATTGAACAGGCCATCTCGTCGCATCGTCGCGCAGCTGAGCTCACACCAGATGGCCACCCCGACAAACCGGTGCTGTTCAGCAACCTCGGCATCGCGCTTTGCGCGCGCTTCAAGCGCACCGGGGAGTTCAACGATATCGAGCAGGCCATCTCGTCACATCGCCGCGCAGTCGATCTTACACCGGATGGCCACCTTGGCAAGGCATCGCGCTTGATGAAACTGGGTTCTTCGTTCAGAGCACGTCACGAGCATGACAGCAGTGAGATTGATTGTACAGCTGCTATCGCGTGTTACATGGAGGCCACAGTCCACACGTCTGGCAGTCCCTCACTTCGTCTTGCTTCTGCCTCTCGCTGTATCCGCCTGCTGCGCCAGAACCCCTCAGTAAGCACCACAGACTCGCTCTTGTCAGCACACTCGCGCATCATCGCTGTTCTACCGGAAATCGTCTGGCTTGGATATGATATACAGCGACGCTACGCAGAATCATCTCGTGTGGGCAAACTTATTAATGACGCAGTCTCTGCAGCTATCGCTGCTGCTGCCCTCACATTGGCTGTAGAGTGGCTTGAGGCGGGCAGGTCGCTCATCTGGGCTCAGGTCTTGTCCCTCCGCACACCGCTTGACGAGTTGAACGAGTCCTATCCGGAACTCGCGAAATCTCTTCGCCGCGTTCAACAAGGCCTCCGGTCATCCGCGAGAAGCTCTTTTGCTCCTGAGATGATGATAGTCAGTGATGTTCCTGGGCTCGCAACCAATCAAGCGGCCGATGCCCATCGCGCGCTAGCTATTGAGCACGACGACCTATTGAAGAAGATTCGCGCGTGCCCTGGGTTTCAAGACTTCCTACGTCCGAAGTCGTTCGACGCGCTCTCAGCCTCCTTCAAGTCATTGAATAACCCCGTCGTTTTCATAAACGTGAACGTGGATCGTTGTGACGCTCTCTGTTTATACCCCAGTGGCGAGATCACGCTGGTTCCACTACCTTCTCTCACGCTCGATCGGGCGACAAAACTATCCGCGCTCTGGAGCAGGATTCTGAGGAACCACATGGTTCGTGCACGAGGCGCTGTTCGCTGGGATGGGGTGGAGGGCCTGCCCCTCTTACATCGTGCTCTGGAGCGTATATGGACATGGATCGTCAGCCCTGTCTTAGACGCTCTTGATCTTGCTAGCCTTGTAAGTTCCCTCTAAAATGCATATTCTCATCACTGTACTAACCTAGCCTTAGGTTCACGGAGAACAGTTGCCGAACATCACTTGGTGCCCGACTGGGCCGCTCACACAACTACCTCTGCACGCGGCAGGTGTTTACAGCAAGCCGGATGGCCCACGTGCTTTCGAGTTCATCGTCTCTTCATATACGCCGTCCTTATCCGCGCTTCTACGCAGTCATCAAGCGACCGCAACCCTAGTCTCGACAGCAAATGCGCTGATCGTGACGCAGCCAGCTACTCCGCGCCTGCCTCCCCTACCAGGCACCAAAGCCGAAGGACGAAAGCTGCGGGACTTCTTAGGTAGCTTGGACATCGCGACTGAGCTGTTGGAGCACGAGCAGGCGTCCACCGATTCCGTGAGCCAAGATATCGGTCGATACTCGTGGGTACACCTCGCGTGCCACGGATCCCAGAATCCCGCAGACGCGACGAAGAGCGCGTTTCACCTCTACGACGGTCCGTTGACGCTCTCGGACCTCATGGGCACCGTATCCGAGAACGCCGAACTCGCTTTCCTATCGGCATGTCAGACCGCTGTGGGCGACGAAAAGGTACCCGAGGAATCCGCTCACCTAGCGGCAGGCATGCTCGCCGTCGGCTTCAAGGGCGTCGTGGCGACGATGTGGTCCATTGGAGACGCCGACGCGCCCGTCGTCGTCGAAGCGTACTATAAGGAGCTCATCGCCCTGCGTGATGCTGGCGTTCTCAGGAGAGGGGAGACGGGCGCGGCATATGCGCTGCATGCGGCCACGAGGGTCCTGCGGGAGAAGGTGGGCGAGGCGGCGTTCATGCGATGGGTTCCATTCGTCCATTTCGGAGTTTGAGAGTGTTCGGGTTTCGGTTTCCAATGATCATGGTCTGTGAACGATATATGAGTCTCGCTCCCTTCGTGTACGGACAAAGAATGTAAATGGACCTGGCGGCTGATACGCAGTCGTGGTGCACGTTGTGCAGTTCGAGAGTAAAGAGAGGCTGGCTGTGTCCCGCCGCGGTGTCGACATGCCTGTATCCTGTCTGCAAGAAACACATATATCAGTACCACTCGCCGTGGACACGGAGAGCAATGCGTACCGCGATAGCTTTCCTTCGTCGTACCCTACGCGCGCTCACCGCTGCTCACCGGCGGCAGGCTCATTCATCCAGCACCTGAAGAACACGCGCGTGTAGCAGGAGCGTTCGCACTCTACGCCCGCCTCGAGCGCACCTTAGGCCGATCAGAGGGATATCATATACCCAAAGTAGCACGCCTGGAGGCCTGCCGGCTCGCTAAGGCGCGCCCGCTGTAGGGAAGAGGTCGGTCAGAATCATCGTCGCAACATTGGGCGCGTGCGGTAAGGGAACCTGCTATCTTGCTTATGTCCTTTATACGAACTTTCCCAGTGGCTCGAAGTGCAGGCATGATTCTTCCGTCTGCATCCTGGTGAGAGGCGACCTTGGTGAGATAGAGCGCGTCAATTAGAGGTCTGTAACAGATATACGGGGAAGCGCCGGCTGATACGCAGACAAGAGTGTTTGGCACTTTCGTTTTGGCTTGGTTTCCAGCAAGTACATCGGCGAACGGTCGAGGCGTCAACTGTATAGGATAGACCGCAATCAACGCGTTGTGATACATTTTGACGTCCTCAGTGCTCAATGCAGGAGACCATCGTCGCTCGTGGCTAGCCAGGTTGTCAGCATTTGACCACTCCGGATCAAATTCTCAAGCCTCTGCCTCTCATCACTTCCGGTCTTCGCGCCCCTGTGCTAGCCACAACTACAGCTTCAACTAGTGACTACATCATCAACACTCGCCTAATCCGCACCATCCTCTTCTATCTTCCTCTTCCTCCGCCTCCCGCAATCCGATCTTGTCCTCCTTTGCGCGCCAAATCGCCGCAGCCCGCGCAGTAGCATCCGCCCTCTCATCAATAGTCCTCAAGCTCGACGACGACATCTCACGCGGCGAAAGCAAATCAGAGATCGAAGATGAAGCCGCGCTCGCGGTTACTGTTGGGAAGGAGATGATGATGATTGAGGGGTGGGAGCGTATCAAGCGCGGGCGGGAGAGAGCTGGGTGTTGAGAAGAGGAAGGCCGCTGAGAATGAGGAGGCGCGCATGACTACGCGTGTCGAGGAGCCGCCATCCATACCCCCCACACTCTCCCGCCCGCCTCGATACTCATCTACAACTGGCGGTGCTGAGACAGTCAAGATGGCTATGACTATGACGGGCCCGACTCATAGTACGGCGCGCGTGCGTTTGTGGCGAGATCGCTGAAATCGTTGCGAGGCGCCGGCAGAAACAGCACGGAGCTGGTTCTGTCGCCGAACCGGCTGCACCGGTCGCGGAGCCTGCAGTCGTACCCGCTGAACTTCTCGCCGTTGCGCCCCGCACAACCATTCACCCTCCGCACACTGCACGTCTTCGGCTCGATCCGACTCCCCGCACTACTTTGCAAACAAGACTACGTCTCGCCGTTCTCTGCGATGGATGAGGATGAGAGGAAGGTGATAGATGAGAGGGTGGAAGGTGACGCGGCCCTGGCGCGCGATCGGTCTGCGTCGGGGTTGCTGAAGAGGAAACGCGAGGACGACGGAGAGGGGGAGCGGGGTGAGGGAGGGAGGGAGAAGAGGATGAAGGCAGAGCAGACGTCGTAGCTCTCGCTTGACGAGTTTGATAGGTATGTGGAGCGGTCTTTGGCGAGAAGGAGGGCACGCGCTAACTTGGGTGCAGGATGGCCGTGAGGCGTCAACGTCGGGTCTCGCCGTGGTCGAGCCAGCCAACTCGCCTGCACCGATGCCCGCGGAGCCTGTGCCAGAAGACCCGCCGCCCCCGAACCCTACCAATCATTCACCGTTCACCCTCCGCCCCCTGACCCGCCAACACACCTTCGATTCGATCCGAACGCCCAAGCCTCTACGCGAAGCAGACTACGTCTCGTTGTTCCCCGTGATGAACGAGGATGAGCGGAGGGTGTGTGGGCGTCTGCTAGCGAAACGCAAGCGGGGTGGCGATGAGGAGGAGGGAGAAGGGAATGCGGGTGGAGCAGACGTCGCAGCTCTTGCTCGGGGAGTTCGAGAAGTACGTTGACGGGTGTATGGCGCGGAGGAGAGAGCGCGCTGAGTCGGGAGGGACCGACGCTGGTGAAGACGTCGGTGCGATGTCTTCCGCGGCGGTTGAGCCTGAGTCCGAGCCCGCACCTGCTCTTGCCGCGGTACCAGGCGGTACCAGCACCTGTGGCATCTGAGCCCGCTCCTGTACCTGCGAGCGCAGAGTCCGTGCCAGAAGCCGCGACTGCGCCTACATCTCCGGCCACTTACCCCGCACCCCCATCTACTCCCTCTTCGCCCAGCCCATCGCTCAAGCGCAAATGCTCCGAAGAAGACAACACACAACAACCCTCCTCCTCATCTCCCTCCGCGCCCTCTCCCACCGAAGATACCTCGAATGAGAGCGCTGAGGACGGCAGCCGTTCCAAACGCGCTCGTCTCTCGAGCTGGTGCCACATCGCCTGAGGCGCATTTCTCATCTCTTTCGTGCGATCTCGCAAGGACTGTACCTTGGACTGTTATGAATGGAAAGACTCGTATGGATTGATTATGGATTGATATGGTTTCTGTTTATCTAGACGTCTCGTGTCCCGCCTCCCGATTGACAGTTGTAAGGGGAATTTTGTCGGCCCTTTCCGCGGATAGTGTTCTAGATGTACGCTACTTACTGTACAGTACTTTACAAGGCGACTGTGACTCAAAGTTGACTAGTTCCTTTCACCCCTTCACCACAACGTCCTCTGCCGCCGCATCGAACGGCCAACGCGCGTTCAGCCGCATCCTATCTCCCAGCGGTAACCCCCGGCACGCTTGAGGGATTGAAAGAAGACTCGGGAGCTGTATAGGCTTCTCGTTCCCTCCAGGGAGGAGTGACGGTCGTTGGCATTCTGGGTACTAGGCTATGGTCACAGTACCTATAGCGCGTCTTTCACACTAATCATGGCCACGTTCCCTTCTGTCGATAGTTCTGCTACGGATGCAAGATGTAGGGTATCGTCTCATTATGTACTAGCTGACCACGTTTCCTTCACCGATGCTCTCTGTCTACTCGCCGATTCGGGTGTAGTGCTTCTCAAATATTGTCTCCGTCGAGCACCGTCCGCAAGGAGCACGCGCCTCCGCCGCGTATCAGCGTTCTTTCGGGGTGCTTCGCCGCGCATAGCCGTACTCCCAAGCTAATATCCTCCGTGAAGAGCGGAAGGCAAGGGGAAGAGCAAGCCGGGGGTCGGCAGGGGCCGACACGAAGAATCGAGGCCCAGGGTAGACGGTTATAAGGTCCAAATTGGATGGTATGTGGCCGCAATGCTGTATGTACATGTCAGCTACTGTAGCACTCGCGGTTGGGAGGGGTGCGACGCACCGAAATGATACTCGCAAGTGTCGCCTCGCCTCAGCCGGTGATGCACAGGTTGCTCTAGGACCCATTGTCTGAAAAACTAGCCAGAGCGCCTCGGATAGATGTTCCGGAGGTTCGGCAGTATAGAACGCGGATTGCTGCTGTCCTCATGGCGGATGCACGGCTTTGAGTGATGGACATTTGGACCGGGCGGTGTATGGTAGACGCTCATAAGCCGGCATAGGTCTAGTTCGAGAGAGTTCGAGCATACGAGGAGTCCAGCACTGAGTGATTTCATACTGCCCAGCTTCACTCTAAGCGTAGTCGCCGAGTTCTCCGCCTTTCGATCAAGGTCATGCTAGTGAGAGGGAAGTCTCGACGCGAGCCGCGCAACTCGGCCCGGGCCGTGGATATGTACTGCGGCGCGCGCGCGTCGCGCGAGGACGCTTGCATTCGCCCACCATGTACATATCCTATTATCACCACGAATGACAAAGTAGTTCCCGCCTCACAGAATGGACGTCCGACACGCAACTTCAGATACTCATCGGTTACAAGGATCTCGGTACCACCTTCCCGACCATCAGGACAGCAGAATTTGAACATGCTCATACCACGCATCGAGCTCATTGAGCGTCTCTCTGCTTCCATTCGCTATTAACACTGACCTGCGGGCCTGATACACGTACATTCTGTGGGAATATGCATTGCCGGATGCACAGCGTGTCCATGTCTGTCGATATTTATACCCATCCCTGCACTTCCTCGTTCCCTGACGCGGATTTCCTCGTCATTTGCTCGCGCCCCCTCTCAATCCATCATGGTGAGTCCAACGTAGACCTGGTACATATAAATGACTGATTGTCTGCACAATCAGGATGATGACGACTTACATCAAGCAGCGAATAACCCCGGCTTCGTCGCTTTCCTGAAGATCGTCTTGAGCGATGACCCTCGCATGCTCGGGGCGTGTATGTGGAGGCTCTACCAGCGCAGCGCCCCTCCAGATCTCAATATTCTCGACGAGGCTATTCAAGCGACACAACGGGCAGTAGAGCGTGACCAAGACTTAGAACCCAGCGATCGTCCTCAACTGTACTTCGACCTTGGGGTTCGACTCGACGCTCGTTCAGACCTGACCCACTCACTTGACGATCTCGATCACTCTATGCTAGCTTTTCAGGCTGCTGTTGATCTCACGTCGGACGATAATTCCAACCAGCCCGAGCGTCTCAATCGACTAGGTGCTTCGCGGGCCCAGTACTTGGAACGTGTCGGCAGGATCGATGACCTCAATGTTGCTGTCACAGCATTCAGCCGCGCCTTCGAACTCCTACCGGACGGCCACTTCGGCAAACCGATACTAAGCAGTAACCTCGGCAACGCGCTTCGCACACGCTCCAAGCACACCGGGGAGCTCGATGATGTTGAGCAGTCTGTCTCGTCGACTCGTCGTGCGGTCGAGCTCACACCGGATGGCCACCCGGATAAGCCATCCCGGTTCAACAGCCTCGGCAACTCTCTCTACACTCGCTTTAAGCGTACCGGGGAGCTTGATGATATCGAGCAGGCCATCTCGTCGCATCATCGCGCGGTCGAGCTCACACCGGATGGCCACCCCGACAAGCCATCGCGGTTCAACAACCTCGGAAACTCCCTCCAGGCTCGCTTCGAGCGCACCGGGGAGCTTGACGATCTCGAGCAGGCCATCTCGTCGCATCGTCGCGCGGTCGAGCTCACACCAGATGGCCACCCTAATATGCCATCGCGGTTCAGTAACCTCGGCAACTCGCTTCACACTCGCTTTGAGCGCACCGGGGAGCTTGATGATATCGAGCAGGCCGTCTCGTCGCATCGCCGCGCGGTCGAGCTCACACCACATGTCCACCCTAATATGCCATCGCGGTTCAGCAACCTCGGCGGCTCGCTCTGGACTCGCTTTCAGCACACTGGGGTGCTTGATGATATCGAGCAGGCCGTCTCGTCGCATCGCCGCGCGGTCGAGCTCACACCAGATGGCCACCCGGACAAGCCATCCCGGATCAACAACCTCGGCAACTCACTCCACACCCGCTTTGAGCGCACCGGGGAGCTTGACGATCTCGAGCAGGCCATCTCGTCGCATCGTCGCGCGGTCGAACTCACACCAGATGGCCACCCCGACAAGTCGTTGTATCTATCCAATCTGGGCGAGTCGATTCGGGGCCGTCACGAACATACTCCAACTGGGATTGACTGCATGGCCGCTGTTGGGTGTTACATGGAGGCGACAATGCACACGTCTGGCAGCCCTTCAGCGCGTCTCGATTCTGCCTTACGCAGCGTCCGCCTTTTACACCAAAACCCCTCAATAAGCACCCCAGACTCGCTCTTGTCGGCCTACTCGCGCATCATCGCCGTTCTCCCGGAAATTGTCTGGCTAGGATATGATATTCAGCGACGCTACACGGAATCATCTCGTGTAGGCGAACTCATCAATCTCGCAGTCTTCGCAGCTATCTATCTAGATGCTCTCACACTGGCTGTAGAGTGGCTGGAGGCGGGTAGATCGCTCATCTGGGCTCAGGTTCTGTCGCTGCGCACACCGCTCGAGGACTTGAAAGCCTTTGACCCGGAACTCGCGGAATGTCTTCGTCGTGTTCAACAAGGTCTCCGGTCATCCGCGAGAAGCTCGTTCGCCCCGGAGACTCGGACAGTCAGTGACGTTCCCGGGCTTACAACCAACCGTGCGGCCGATGCCCATCGCGCGCTTGCCATCGAGCACGACGACCTCTTGAAGAAGATTCGTGCATGCCCCGGCTTCGAAGACTTTCTACGTCCAAAATCATTTGACGTACTCGCGACTTCCGCATTGAAGATGTTGAGTGGCTCCATGGTCTTCATCAACGTATCTGTTGCATCCAATGCACTGGTGCTTCATCCAAATGGCGAATTGCTATCGATACCACTGCCCGAACTCTCGACGGAACGAGCAAATAAACTGCGTTCGCTATGGGCTACAGAACTCAGACACTATAGAGACCGGATACGCGACTCAGCTGCATCACAGGAAGAGCTGCCATTAAACGAGGAGAGCCCGCAGCTCGCTCTTTCGGACGTCACGCTCATTCGATACATGGCGCGAGCATACGAGGATGGAAAAAACGATGCCACCCGTGTACTCGAGCACCTTTGGGAGTGGATCGTGCATCCCATCACCCAATCTCTCAACCTAACGGTCGAAGATCACGTAAGTCTTCTTCTGCTCAACATCTGCATTCTACTGACATACTTTACAGAACCATAACGGTGTTCTTCCACACATTACATGGTGCCCCACGGGGCCGCTAGCACAGCTCCCCCTTCACGCAGCAGGCATATACAGCGAACCCCATGGCCCGCGCGCATTCGACTTCATCGTGTCCTCGTATACCCCTTCGTTGTCCGCACTCCTGCGCTGTCTTGAAGGCGGAGGCAGGCGAGATGCACCGCCATCTGTACTCGTCGTTACGCAGCCGGCCACGCCGAAGTGCTCTCGACTGCCTGGAACCCGGGAGGAAAAGCGGTGCCTGCAAGCAGTCCTGCGTGACGCACAGATCCCGAGTACCGTCTACGATCACGATAAGGCCACGGTGAAGTCCGTTCGAGACGTCATGGGGCAGTATCCTTGGGTACACCTGGCATGCCACGGCTCGCAGCATCGCACTGACCCGACGAAAAGTGCGTTCGAGCTCTACGACGGTCCATTCACGCTGTCAGATCTCATGGGTACCGTATCCGACAACGCGGAGCTTGCTTTCCTATCGGCGTGTCAGACCGCTGTCGGCGATGAGAAGGTACCCGAGGAATCTGCTCACCTAGCGGCAGGCATGCTCGCGGTCGGCTTTAAGGGCGTCGTGGCGACGATGTGGTCCATCGGAGACGCCGACGCGCCCATCGTCGTTGAGGCGTACTACAAGGAGCTCATCGCCCTGCGCGAGGCTGGCGTTCTCAGGAAGGGGGAGACGGGCGTGGCATATGCGCTGCATGCGGCCACGAAGGTCCTGCGGGAGAAGGTGGGGGAGGCGGCGTTCATGCGATGGGTTCCGTTCGTCCATTTCGGAGTATGAGAGAGTCCGAGTTTGTGGTCTTGACTGTGATGATGTATGAATCTCGTAATCCTGTATGGAATGTAGATGAACCTACAGCGAGTGTTGTTCTGTCAGTGTGTATACTGTAGTCCTATTTCAACATAAACACGCATGTACGGTTTGGTGGAAGACTCTGACCTTGTATGATCGGACTGGAGAGCGCTGCGAGTACATACTCGGTCGTGGTGCACGTTGTATAGCTTGATTGTGATGGTTGTGATGAAGAACTCGGAGCGTGGTACACCCGAGTCGCGGATTGCTTTGGCTATACAGTTCGGCGAGGGTCAGTCTTGTCGATATGTGTTGAGAGCTAAGAGGAGACTAACCGTATCCCGCAACGGTGTCAATATGTCTGTATTTTGCCTGCGGAAGATGCACACATCAATACCACTCGCCGTAGACACGTAGAGCAACGCGTACCGCACTAGCGTTCCTCTGTTGTACCATACGCGCGCTCACCAGCGCAAGGCTCATCCATCCAGCACCTACAAAACTCGCACATCTCAGCATGCTCGTTTGCATTGTGCGGCTGCCTCGAGCGCACCTGAGGACGATCAGAGAGAGCTCAGCTCCGGCAATGCGAAGTTGCGCGCAGAATGTCGGTCATCGGCGGTGAGATGAAAGAGAGACCACTGAGTATGTCGACAGGATCCAGAGACAGCGCGTGTGGCCTGTCGGCTTGCTTACTGTATGAGAGAGGTCGATCATAACCACCGTCGCAGCACCAGCGTCGCGCGGCGATGCAGTAGGCTACAAATACATAGGCATGTTAGGACAGAAGTGCGTCTCCGTCACGTATACAGAGCTACTCACCCTGTCACCGGATGTGCGCCTCGTATCTTTCTTGCTCATGGCCTCTAGATTCACTCTCCAAGTTACTCGAACTGCAGGCATGCTTCTCCTGTCTGTTCTGCTGGCGAGAGGCAAACTCAACAGTGTAGAGTGCGTCAGTCTGAGCGTTCTACGAGATGTACGGGAAAGCGCCGGCCAGTACAAGAGCGTTCACATTCGTTTTGGCTCCAGGACGTCGCTGCCGGCGAAACATGCAGACGCGGTGTCCAGCAAGCACGTCTGTGGATGGTTGAGGCGTGAACCGCATGGAATGGATCGCAGCATATATGAATAACAACTCAGTTCGATGTCCTTCAGCAATCGCGCTCAAAGATGCGCAGGAGACCATCGTCGCTTGAAACAAGCGCCAGCCAGGTTGACCGTGTTCAACCACTCCGGATCAAATCCTTATGTAATAGCCGCTGGCGCCCACCCGGCCTCTGGTCTCCCCTCGTCTCCCCCATCGTACGGTTGAACTTCTTCCTCCTACGCGCAACTTCCAGCGCCTGCCTGAGCGTCAGCCATGACTACAACTCCAACTACATCATCAACACTCGCCTAATCCACACCGTTCTCCTCCTCCGCCGCCTCCTCTGATCTGATCCGATCTTCCCTCGAGCGCCAACTCGCCTTAGCCCTCACAGCAGCATCCTCCCTTTCATCAACAGTTCTCAAGCTCGACGACGAGGATTGAGGAGAAGCAAATATGGTTCTTCTACATCGTCCTCGCGATACCCATCTACAACTCGCAGCGCTGGGACGGCACCGACGGCTACGATGATAATAACGACGGCGAGGATTTGTGGCGTGGATCACGGAATTCGTTGCGAGGGGCCGGCAGAGGCAGCCTGGTGCCGAACTCGCAGAGCCGCACCTCGCCACACCGCCTGTATAGCCCGTCGTGGTATTCATTGAATTTCCGGCCGCTGCACCTGCCGCCGAACTTCCCGCCGAATCCGCTACTGACCCAGCACAACCGTTCAAAGCGTCTTCGACTCGATCCGGCTCCCCGCACTATCCTGCCAACAAGGCTACCTCTCGCTGCTCTCTGCGATGGATGAGGATGAGAGGGGGGGAGGTGATGCGGCCGTGGCGCTTGGGCGGTGCGCGAGGACGACGAATGTCGCAGCTCTTGCTTGACGAGTTTGATGAGTACGTGGAACGGTCTGTGGCGAGAAGGAGGGCGCGCGCTGATTTGGGTGCAGTGAAGGATGGCGAGGATGGCCGTGAGGCGACAACGTTGGGTCTCGCCGTGGCCGAGCCAACCGAGGACGACTCAGAAACTGGACCTGCGCCTGCAATAATGCCCGCCGGTGCCAGAAGACGCGACTACGCATCGACCTGTGCCCACTTCACCCACACTCGCATATACGCCCTCTTCACCGCAACGCTCCGAAGAAAACGACGACGCGCAGGCATCCTTCTCCTCTAGACCTCATGCAAGCTACTTCACTCCCGCCGCGCCCTCTCCCACCGAAGATACCTCTAATGAGGGCGCCAAGGACGGCAGTTCGACCAAACGCGCCCGTCTTGCAAGCTGCTGCAACGTCGCATGAAGCGCACCTCTCATCTCTTGATGGGATATACTCGCAAGGACTGTGCTTTGGACTGCGAAAACTCGTATGGACTCATATTGTTCTTTTTATCGAGACGTCTCGTATCCCACCTCCCGCATGACGGTCGCGAGCGGGGACCTTTCTCGGCTGGATCCCCGATGCGCGGGTTGTGTCTTGGATGTATGCTACTTACTGTACTGTACAAAGCGTCTATGATTCAGAATCGATTGATATAGCAATTAGTGCTACCACTTGCGTGGTACCCCGCCAGTTGGCGGCGCGACACTGGGTGCTTATCTTTGAGAATTGTAGCCGTATACTTACATCGCGGACTTCCACGCCGTGGGAAAGATCACCGAGGCCAGTCCGAGGCCTCAGGCCTCAGGCGGCGCGCGCGTCTTGCCCCCTGCGGCCTGCACGGTCATCCGATGAGACTCCTCAACAACAGTACTTATCGAAACCGCGATATCGACTGCTCGCTACGCCTCTGTCCTGACGCGTTCAGACTTCTCCTGTCGACCCTGACCACAACGACGATCGTGAAGAAGCCGGCCACATTGCGCTTCGTGCGTTGTGCTGCTGTGCTCGTAAGTATTCTGAGGCTTACAACTATGGTCAGACCGTCGATATGTAGGAATGGCTTCAGGAGAAATTTGTGCCAGATATTCAGGAAGACGTCAAGCTGGATTCCGAATCCTTTCCCGATCCTCCCCCTCGCGCACGCACTCCTCGCTACCTTCGGTCCCGCCAATCTCATCCGCCCGCTCACACCGCGCTCCTTCCTTCGACTTCCCGAGGCCGATACGTCAGATGTATCATCTCTCTACAACATACTTCGCAGACGCGCCGGCGAGCGGAAGCGCGAGCGCGCGTGGATGTTGAAGTCACTCGCATGTGCAATGTGAGGTGCCGGTCCAGCCGAGCGGGACATCTTCCGTAGAAGACGGACGTGGTATCCACTCGCGAGTCTGTGGCTGGCTGTGTTGGATGTGCTCATGGTAGCGGATGAGGCAAAACTAGAGAGTGGTGGGCCGCGCTCGGGCTATGTCTTGCATTGCTCGTACAGCACCAGGGTATGTGCGTAGTCGTCTTACTTCATACAAGTCCTGACATTCATGCGCTTATAGGTCTTTATCCCGGTCGGGACTACAAGGCCGAGTACTGCTCAGACCGGTGCAATTGCCCGGACGTGCACCGCACGCACTGACGGGGATACTCTCATCTAGTGGCGACGAACATAGTCCGTTGTTCAAGTAGTATACCCAGTGCTTCTTTCGCACATATTGTAGTCATGCCCGCTTCTATCAATATTTCTGCTACGTATGCAAGATGTAGGAGGTCGTCTTAAGCTTGCAACGTCTCATTCATCAATGTTCTCTGTCTAGTACTCGCTTCAGTTGTATTAGTAGCGCTCTCACAAGCTGTCTCCATCCGCCAGGTGAACGCACTACTACCGCGTGTCAGCTTTCGGGATAGTTCGCTGCGTATGGCCATATTCCGAAGCTACGGTTCTTCGGGAAGGGCGCATAGCGAGGGGAATGGACGGATTCGAAGGCAGTGAGGGCTCTATGAGCGAGCCAGGTGTCGGTATAATAGGCTGTGGCCTGGGGTCGACGGATAGCGGGGTCCGAGTTTGATGGTATGCGGATGCTGTATATACGAGCCTGTACACGCATGCCAGCTGTAGTAGGCTTGGAGAGTGCCGCTGAAACGCACCAAACGCGCCTCGCCTCGTCGATCTATTGCTCAACGACCGCTATCTTAGAGTAGAGCCTGCTTGCTTCAAGCAATCGGGGGGTCCGGCGTTAGAATACGACTTGGTGTTGTCCTCGCGACACATGCACGGCTTGAGTGATGGACGTTTGGACTGGGCGGAGTATTGTGGACGCTCATAAGCCGGCATAGGTCTGGTTTTAGAGAGTTCGAGCATACGAGGACTCCAGCACTGAGTGTTTTCAAACTGCCCAGTTTGGCTCTAAGCATAGGTGTTGGGTTCCCCGCCTTTCGATCAAGGTCATGCTGGTGAGAGGGAAGTCTTGACGCGAGCCGCGCAACTCGGCCCGGGCCGTGGATATGTACTGGCGCGCATCGCGCGAGGATGCTTGCCTTCGCCCACCATGTACATACCCTATTATCACCACGAATGACAAAGTAGTTCGCGCCTCACAGAATGGAGGTCCGACACACGTCGTATACTCATTGGTTACAAGGATCTCGGTACCACCTTCCCGACCATCAGGACAGCAGAACTTGGACATGTCCATACCGCGCATCGAGCTCATCGAGCGTCTCTGTGCTTCCATTTGCTATCAACACTGACCTGCGCGCCTCATACATGTATATTCTACGGGAATGTGCATAGCCGTATACACAGCGGGTCTATGCGCATCGGTATTTATACCTATTCCTACAACGCCTCGCGGATTTGCTACCCCTCCCCTTCAATCCGCCATGGTATGTGTGATTATAGACTTGGCGCACATAAGTGGCTAACTCTTAGTGCGCAATCAGGGTGACGAGCTCTCATCCCATACAAGTCACTCCTACGCGGCTGCTGTGGTACAAGCCGTCTCCGCCCGCTTCGTCGATGACCCTCGCACCGTTGGGGACGTGGCGTGGGCATGTCACCGTTTCACCAATCCTCCAGATACCGTTTTTCTTGATACGGCCATCCAGGCAACGCAACTGGCAATGGAGCGTGGCCAGAACTCAGCTCCTAGCGACCGCTCTCAACTGTACTACGACCTAGGAGTCCGGCTCGACACCCGTTCAGACCTGACACACTCACTTGACGATCTCAGTCAGGCGATGTTGGCTTTTCAGGCTGCTGTTGACCTCACTTCAGACGACAATCCCAACCAGCCTGAGCGCCTCAATCGACTGGGCGTTTCGCGACTCGCATACTTCGAGCGCGTCGGTAGGATCGATGACCTCAACCATGCTATCACAGCATTCTCCTGCGCTTTCGAGCTCTTACCGGAAGGCGACCCCAACAAGCCGATACTATTAAGCAACCTCGGCAACTCGTTTGACAAGCGCTTTAAGCACATCGGGGAGCTCGATGATATCGAGCAAGCTGTCTCGTCGCATCGTCGCGCGATCGAGCTCACACCGGACGGCCAGCCCATCAAGTTATTGCAATTCAGCAATCTGGGTAACTCTCTTCGCAAGCACTTTGAGCTCACCGGGGATGTCGATTACATTGAGCAGGCTATCTCATCGCATCGCCGCGCGGTCGAGCTTACACCGAATGGTCACCCCAAGAAGCCCTCGCTTTTCAGCAACCTGGGAAGCTCGCTTCTCGCGCGTTTCGAGCACATTGGGGAGCTCGACGATGTCGAACAGGCGGTCTCGTCCCATCGCCGCGCGGTCTCGCTCACACCGGATGGCCACCCCGATAAGCCGATGCTATTCAGCAACTTGGGTAGCTCGCTTCAAGCGCGCTTCCAGCACGCCGGGAAGCTTGATGATATTGAGCGAGCTGTCTCATCGCATCGCCGCGCAGTTGAACTGACGCCGGATGGCCACCCGGACAAGCCAGCACAATTCAACAACCTCGGCAATTCGCTTAGCATATGCTTCGAGTGCACCGGGGAGCTCGATGGTATCGAGCAGGCCATCTCGTCGCATCGCCGTGCTGTCGAGCTCACGCCGGATGGCCACCCTGCCAAGCCATCGCGATTCAGCAACCTGGGTAATTCTCTTCACAGGCGCTTTGATCGCACCGGGGAGCTCGATGATATCGAGCAGGCTATCTCGTCGCATCGCCGCGCAGTCGAGCTTACACCGGATTGTCACCCCAATAAGCCCTCGCTATTCAGCAGCTTGGGCTGCTCGCTTCTCGCGCATTTCAAGTGCACGGGAGAGCTCGATGGTATCGAGCAGGCTATCTCGTCGCATCTTCGTGCTGTCGAGCTCACACCGGATGGCCACCCCGCCAAGCCGGCGCGATTGAGCAATCTGGGAAACTCTCTCCACAATCACTTCGAGTGCACCGGGAAGCTCGACGATATCGAGCGGGCCGTCTCGTCGCATCACCTCGCGGTCGAGCTCGCGCCAAATGGCCACCCTGCCATGCCGGCATGGTTCAATAACCTCGGCACCTCGCTTTTCGCGCGTTACAGGCACACTGGGGAGCTCGACGATGTCGAACAGGCGGTCTCGTTCCATCGCCGCGCGGTCTCGCTCACACCGGATGGCCACCCCGATAAGCCGATGCTATTCAGCAACTTGGGTAGCTCGCTTCAAGCGCGCTTCCAGCACGCCGGGGAGCATGATGATATTGAGCAAGCTGTCTCATCGCATCGCCGCGCGGTTGAACTGACGCCGGATGGCCGCCCGGACAAGCCAGCACAATTCAGCAACCTCGGCAATTCGCTTAGCATATGCTTCGAGTGCGCTGGGAAGCTCGATGATATCGAGCAGGCCATCTCGTCGCATCGCCGTGCTGTCGAGCTCACACCGGATGGCCACCCTGCCAAGCCGGCATGGTTCAACAACCTGGGTAGCTCTCTCCACCAGCGATTTGAGCGCACCAGGGAGGTCGACGATATCGAGCAGTCCATTTCGTCGCTTCGCCGCGCAATCGAGCTCACACCGGATGGCCACCCTGGCAAGCCCTCGCTATTCAGCAATCTGGGCAGCTCGCTTATCGCGTGTTTCAAACACACGGGAGAGCTCAAAGATGTCGAGCAGGCCATCTCGTCACATCGCCGTGCTGTTGGGCTCACACTGGATGGCCACCCTGACAAGGCGATGCAATCTAACAACCTAGGTACCTCGCTTCACGCACGCTTTGAGCGCACTGGGGAGCCCATTGATATCGAGCAGGCTGTTTCGTCGTTTCGTCGCGCAGTCGAGCTTACACCGGACGGACAACCCGACAAGCCATTGCGATTGAGCAACCTGGGCAGCTCGCTTCTCACACGCTTTGAGCACACTGGGGAGCCCGTTGATATCGAGCAGGCCATCTCGTCGCATCGCCGCGCAGTCGAGCTTCTGCCGGATGGCCACCCCAATAAGTCATTGTCATTATACAATCTGGGGCTTTCGTATCAGAGGTATCACGAACATGCAGGAAGTGGGACTGACTGCACGGCCGCTATCAGGTGTTACATGGAGGCGACAGAGCACACATCTGGCAGTCCCTCAATTCGTCTCAATTCTGCTTCATGCTGTGTTCGCCTACTACACCAAAACCCATCGATAAGCATCATAGACTCTCTCTTGGAAGCACACTCGCGCATCATTGCTGTTCTGCCGGAAATCATTTGGCTCGGATATGATATTCAGCGACGCTACATGGAATCATCTCGTGTAGGCGAACTTATCAATGACGCAATCTCTACAGCTGTAGCTGTCGATGCTTTGACACTGGCTGTACAGTGGCTTGAGGCGGGCAGATCACTCATCTGGGCTCAGGTCTTGTCGTTGCGCACACCACTCGATGACTTGAACGAGTCCTATCCAGAACTCGCGGATTCTCTTCGCCACGTTCAACAACGCCTCCAGTCATCCGCGAGAAGCTCGTTTGCTCCCAAGATGATGACAGTCAGTGACGTTCCCGGGCTCACAACCAATCGTGCGGCCGATGCCCATCGCGCGCTAGCTATCGAGCACGACGGTCTGTTAAAGAAGATACGGGCGTGCCCTGGGTTTCAAGACTTCCTACGTCCGAAGTCGTTCGACGCGCTCTCGGCCCTGTTCACGTCGTTATACAACCCCGTCATTTTCATAAACGTGAACATGAATCGCTGTGACGCTCTCTGTTTATATCCCAGTGGCGAGATCACACTGGTTCCACTGCCTTCCCTCACGCTCGATGCGGCGACAAAACTATCCGCTCTCTGGACCAGGATTCTAAGAAATCACATGGTTCGTGTACGAGGCGCTGTTCGCTGGGATGGAGCGGAGGGCTCAGCCCTTTTACAACGTGCTCTGGAGCGTATGTGGACATGGATTGTCAACCCTATCTTAGATGCTCTTGATCTTGGTAGTCTTGTAAGCTTCCTCTTGCACTCTGATTCTCATCAGCGTACTGACCCAACCCTAGGTTCACGGAGAACAGTTACCGAGTATCACTTGGTGCCCTACTGGGCCGCTCACACAACTACCTCTGCACGCGGCAGGTGTTTACAGCAAGCCGGATGGTCCTCGCGCTTATGAATTCATCGTCTCTACTTATACCCCGTCCTTATCTGCGCTTCTACGCAGTCGCGAAGCGACCGCAACCCATCATATGGCAGCAAATGCGCTGATCGTAACACAGCCAAATACACCGCGCTTGCCCTCTCTACCTGGCACCAAAGCCGAAGGACGTCAGCTGCGGGACTTTTTATGCAGCTTGAACATCGCGACTCAGCTGTTGGAACACGAGCAGGCGTCTACCAATTCCGTGAGCCACGATATCGGTCGATACTCGTGGGTACATCTCGCGTGCCACGGATCGCAGAATCCCGCGGACCCGACGAAGAGCGCATTTCACCTCTACGACGGTCCCTTGACGCTCTCGGATCTCATGGGTACCGTATCCGAGAACGCGGAACTCGCTTTTCTATCGGCGTGTCAGACCGCTGTAGGCGACGAGAAGGTACCGGAGGAATCCGCCCACCTAGCAGCAGGCATGCTCGCCGTCGGCTTCAAAGGTGTTGTGGCAACGATGTGGTCCATCGGAGACGCCGACGCGCCCGTCGTCGTTGAGGCGTACTACAAGGAGCTCATCGCCTTGCGTGATGCTGGCGTTCTCAGGAGAGGGGAGACGGGTGCGGCATATGCGCTGCATGCGGCCACGAAGGTCCTGCGGGAGAAGGTGGGCGAGGCGGCGTTCATGCGATGGGTTCCGTTCGTCCATTTCGGAGTTTGAGAGGTTTCGGGTTTGCCATGCAATGAGCGTGGTCTGTGAATGAAGTATGAGTCTCGTAATCTTCATGTATGGGTATGGAATGTAAATGAACCTAGAACGAGTTTTGATCTGCGAGTGTGTATGCTGTAGTCCTGTTTCGGTATAAGCACGCATGTACGGTTCGGTAGAAGACTCAGACAAGTATTGATAGGATATGGTATTAAACGATGTTAGAGGCCATTGAAAGCACCCAAACTATTGACTGAGCAAGGAGAACGCGCGTTGGATGATGTCGTGCGGGTGGTGCGGCCTCCATCGCGCCTTCATGGCGAGAGGTACATCGAATAGGCTCATCCATCGGAGCGATTAGAGGCGGGACCCTCTTTAGTGGGGTGGAAGTCGGTATACGGAGATAACGAGTACAATTGGCGCTCCACATATAGTTCAACACGTCGTGGTGGGCGTTCGAGCTCAAGACAGCGCGTGCCGGCGCGGCACCGCCGACTCGCAGCTGCGTGACGTCACGCGTCGGTTTACTCGTATGCCCGAAGCAAGCCTGGAGCCACTGTTGAGCGTACCTACCGGTACCCACTAGCTGCGCACCCACGCTGGCTGCCTAGCTTTGTGTTGACAAGCTCACTCCTGTCAGGTCCCAACCTGCAGATCATCTTTGGATCTGCGCTTGTTTACTGTACATAGTTTCTGTATTTCAAAACCGCTGATATCGTAATCTTCCTTTCACGCCTGCACAACAACGCCCTCCGCGTCGAACGGCCAGCCGAGCTGCTCGTGCGTCCAGCCAAATACAACCCCATGATCATGGTACATGAGCAACGAGCGGTGCAAGCCCGGTTGAGTATGCAGCTCATCGATAGTCTTAACGTCTGCATCCTCAAGCTTCACGATCTAAGCACCCTTGAGTATCAGCGAGACAAGATCTGAAGAAGGAAGGAAACGTACGGTGATATTCTTCCTCAACCGGTCCTCATTCTCGCTCTTGGGTACTACACTCGTCCCGCGTTGGAGGCTCCAGCTGAGTATAATCTGGCCCGACGTGGCACTATACTTCTCCGCGATCTTACCGATCGTTTCGTTCTTCAGCAATGATGGGCCTGTCGAGGCATCGGTCGGCTGGCCTGAAACCTTCCATTCAAAGGGCGACGCTAACCAGGAGGGGATCGGTTGAACGCACCGAAAGGCGAATACGCCGTCATATGTATGCCCTTCGCCTCGCACCACCTCTTCGTCTCCTGCTGCGGCAGAAACGGATGCATCTCGACCTGATTCACTGCCGGCACGACTTTCCAAGTCTTCTCCAGCCTCTCCAGATTCTTCACGCTGAAATTGCTCACACCAATGGCCTTCGCCTTCCCGCTCTCAAACTCCTTCTCCATTTCGGCCCAGGTTTCATTGATAGTGGGATGCTCGTCAGGTTGTAACGTCCTCGCGTTGAAGTCGGTGACCTCGCCCTTGGCTGCTTGAGGCCAGTGTATGAGGTATAGATCGACGTAGTCTGTGCCGAGCGCTTTGAGTGAGTCGGAGAGGGCGGCAGATACACGGTCGTGGTGCACGTTGTGAAGCTTGGTCGTGATGAAGAACTCGGAGCGCGGGATGCCTGAGTCACGAATCGCTTTCCCTACGTATTCTTCGTTGGCTGTATAGGGTGCAGATCAAGGTCAGTCTTGCTGGATGCACAAAAAGCCAAGAGCAGACTGACCGTATCCTGCGGCGGTGTCGATGTGCCTGTATCCCGCCTACGGAAGACACACGTATCAGCGCCATTTGCCATGAATACAGAGAGCAGTACGTGCAGCGATGGCTTTCTTGGTCATCTCATACGCGCGCTCGCCAGCTCCAGGCTCGCCCATCCAACACCTGAAAACACGGCGAACATCTTAGCACAATCATTTATACTGTGGCGCTTCCACGACGCACCCGAGACCGATGAGAGGGATCTTAGCTCCCGTATTCAGAGTTGCGCGCGGAACGTCGGCCATTGTTGGGATGATGGAAAGTGGAACGACTAAGTATATCGACAAGCTGGATACGGAGATCGCGCTTTATACACTGCCGGTTTGCTATGACGTGATTGAGGACGATCAGATTCTGAATTGTCGACGCAACATCTGCGTGGGTCACGCTCGCGCGGGGCAAGGCAGTCTACAAATACAATAACCTGTTAGAACAGAAGTGGATCTCCATCACGTATACAGGTTTGCTCACTTCTCCGCCAGCTACGAGTCATGATTCATGCTTGTAAGTTCTGTGTCGGCTTCCAAATCGCGAAGTGCTTGTTCGTTGTCCTCCCTCGGAGAGATGAAATGAGCAGCGAGTCGGCTTTTCTCAGAAGGTTTGGAAGAGCGCTGGCCGACAGTCGTTCACTCTTGAGCCATTGGAGGATGTTCCTGTCGGTGAAACGCGTCGACGCGGTTTCGAGCAAGTGTGGCGAGGTATGCTTGAGGGATATGTCGTATCTGGCAGGTCATGTCGCAGAGGAACACAGTTTATTCTAATAGCCCTTCGGTGACCGTGCAGGATGTGCAGGAGACCATCGCCGCTCAGAGCAGGCCAAGTCGGCCGCGTTCAACTAGTCCGGATCAATCGGGCCCGCTCGTAATCTTTCTCACGAGGCCTTCACTGGCAGGTCGCAGCCTGCTGTCGATTGTCTCCGGATACAGTAGTATTGATAGCACGAGCCAAGCCCTACAAGACTGCTACCAGCTTGTCCCATATCTATAAAACGATGCCCTTTTCGTCGAATGGCCATCCGAGCTGCTCATACGTCCAACCCATGACACCTTCCTTGCTGTGCAGAAAAGCGAGCAAAGAACGATGCAAGCCGGGCTGTTTGTGCAAGTTGTCGATGGTCTTCACATCGGCCTCATCAAGCTTCAGGATCTGGATAGACGAGGTTCACACGTCAGCGGGCCGGATAAGTCTGATTCTGGGGTGGAAGCTCACCGTCAAGTTCGAGCGCAGACGCTCCTCCTTCTCACTCTTCGGGATGACACTAGTACCGCACTGAACGCCCCAACCGAGCAAGACCTGGCCCGTCGTTGCTCCGTACTTCTCCGCAATCTTCTCGATCGTCTCATTATGTAGGAGCGACGGCGCGTCCTGTCCTACGATCGGCTGACCTGCACGCCTCTATCAGCTCCGGATCCTTCCAAACTTCAACACTTGACGTACCCAGCGGCGCGAACGCAGTCAGATGAATGCCCTTGTCCTCACAATACGCCCTGAGCGCATTCTGCGGAAGAAACGGGTGTATCTCGACCTGATTCACAGCAGGCACAACCGTCCACGTCTTCTCCAACTGATCCAGAGTCTTGACGCTGAAGTTGCTGGCCCCAACCGCCCTCGCCTTCCCCTCCCTGTACACCTTCTCCATATCCGCCCACGTATCATTAATCGTGGGATACTCCTCGGGCTGCAGCGTCTTGCCGTTCCTCTCAGCTTGAGGATAGTGGATCAAGAAGAGATCGACGTAGTCGAGCCCGAGCGCCGCAAGAGACTCGTCGAGCGCTTCGGCGACGCTGTCGTGGCGGTCTTGATTGAGCTTTGTCGTTATGAAGAGCTCCTCGCGAGGGACATCTGACTCTCGGATCGCTCTGCCTACGGGCGCTTCGTCGTCTGTAGACACCAGGCGGTGAGTGGCTACCAGAGATGAAGTCCTCACAGTGCTCACCGTAGTCTGCTGCAGTGTCGATGTGTCTATACCCAATCTGCATATGTGGCATGGTGAGCTGCTATACGGGTCACTGAGCTATAGACACTCACCGCTATTGCTTTCCGACACATCTCATATGCGCGTTCACCAGCGCCGGTATCGCCCATCCAGCATCTGCACCGACATTCAAGTTAGTAACTGACGTCTGCGCCGACGATGACCCGCTGCATACCCTAACCCAACTATGGGCATCTTAGCTCCAGTGTTCAAAGTAACAAGAGGTACAGTCGACATGTTCGTAGATTTCGTTAAGGAGAGCGAAGCGCAAGACAGAGAAGTGGATGGAGCGTATGTCGACTGGCTCTGGAGAGGAGGACTTGGGCTCCTCTCTTAAGTACTACATGGCTGTTCAACACGTCCAAAAGGCACACTGTAAGCAAGAATTAGTACTCTATCGGTCGCATCGCCGAGGCGCACTGTACACGCACCATTGCGGTAACGAGCTGCACAACTCAAGAGTCACGGAACGCGTCGGAGCCGTGACCTTGTGAATCGTCTATTCAACCGGGCGCAACCGCGCAAAGGCGGTCACACAGAGTCAGTGATCTCCGCCATCGAATCGATTCTACGGGATCTCAAGTTGCGTGACCGAGCCCGTAGGAGGCCATCCAGGTCCCCCTCATGGTTGTACAGCAACGCCCATCGTGTAAGATGAGATAGTCCGGGCACGTGCAGACGAATATCGCACTAGAGAGTAAGACCTGGTGCCACACAGTACAGGCCACCATGGAAGCAAAGATCTGTGGTATACACAAAAAGTTCTACCTGAGCATACGTCGCAGCTTGCAAGCAAGTCGGGGCAACGCGAGGTTGAGCGCGCACTGGGGTTCGGGCCGGGTGTGCCGATGTTCACACGTGCGTTCGCCGGTGTCTGGGGCATGCGTATGCATTCACCGGCAAACGATGTACTTGAGGCAATTTCGAGCAGTCAAGTTGCGTTTTGTATGATGCTCAGCTTCAATGCCTGGGGCGCGCATATTGACGGGTGTCAAATATGCCCCGTCGAGGTAACCGTCGAAGACAACACTTGTCCGCGCGCCGGCCCACACCACCAATATTTGTCGCTCATCGCCCTTCGTCACTGGATCTTGAGATGCACATAACGACCATGTATTGTGCAAGCGTCAAATAAGTACAAGAAATTAGATGTTAACGAGTGACCAAGCGCGCAAATATCTATCGCAGAAGCAGCGAGAACCGCAGAGACCAAGTGGTATACACAGATGCACGAACAGACGAGACCAAAGACGAACGTCCCTCATCAACCCCATATAGAATAACCTACACCCTTCACTTGAAATTTCCATCTCAAATCCCTACTTCGCCTCGCACCACATCTCCAACTTGCCCTCCGGCCTCCCCTTCGCGCTCTCCCTCGCAGTCTCAACCGCAAGCTCATAATCGCTCTCGTCCTGCAAACTGACCTTCCCACCATCCTCGTCCCTAAACTTCAGCCGCATGCTCCCGACGCTCAGCTCGAACTTGCCGGCAACCTTATCCAAGAAATCCTCGTACGGCATGCGCGCATCGACCGCCATCCCGCGCACGTCGTCCTCGAAGTGGATCTTCACGCGGATCTTCATCAGCTCGAACTCGTCGAACTCGCCCGTGTCGTACCCGTCCGCCTCGGGGTCCTCGGTGTAGACCGTTGACACGGGCCCGCGGCGTTGGGTGACGCGGCGGCGGATCGAAGGCCCCGTGCGGACGGAACCGGCGAATGAGGAGGGTGCGCGGGCCGGTGCGCGCGTGGCGTCTCGAGCCCAGTCCGCAACGCGGTCGCCGGTGGGCAGAGGAGCCTGAGGCATAGGCGGGCGCTGGTTCGCGGGCGGCGCAGGCGTATTAGGCCCGGCGTAGTCGTCAATGTACGAGTCGTAGAACTCCGTCATGCGCTGGTCGACCGGCGGCTTGGAGGGCGGGGGCGGGGCGTTGGAGGCGCCGTCGTCCGAGGTCGGCTTGCGAACCGTGAGGCCGCGGACGGGCGTGGGACCGGGCGAGGGGCCTGTGCGCGCGGGCGGGGGCGATGCGACGCTGCGCGGTCCGGGTGACGGGCCCGAGCGCGGCGTCGGTGTGCCGTTGATGCGCTCGCGGGCGTTGGGCGCGACGTTGATGGTGGTGTTGGCGCGCGCGACGCCGGCGGAGCGTGCGACTTCGGGGTTGAGGGGCTTGGGCTTGGGCGGGGGCTCGGTCTGCGTGCGGACGAGGGAGCCGTTGCGGTTGAGGTCGATCACGGGACGCTCGTCGACGTAGACGCCCTGCGGGGAGATGCCCTGCTTGAGGCGTGTGACGCCTGTGAAGGTCGTGTACGCCTCGTTCGGGTTCTCCGTCGCGACGAGCCGCGCTTTGCCCATGTAGTCGCGCGTCTTGGCGTTCTTGATCTTCATCTCGCTCGGGCGGTAGAGGACGCCGACGGGGATGGAGAAGACAGTGTAGCCCTCGCCGCGGTCACGGATGGCCTCGTCGATCACGTTGTGCTCCTCCGTCGCTTTCGCCGCGGCGGCGTCTTGCAGCTCGAGCATGCCCTCGTCCACTTGGCCCATGTAGATCAATGCGAGTCCCTTGTTGAATAGCACCTCGGCTGAGAAAAGCGTGAACGCCAGACCGAGTTGGGTGTAGTTGATCGATTGGTTCCCGCGGAGATACAACAACGCGCCCTCGAAATCCTTGCTCGCGAGGTCATACCGACCAAGCAAGAAGTTGCTTACGCCGCACTGGAAATATCTGCGCAGCCATTCCATGATTAGCGCCCAAAAAACCCACAAAGGGAAATGGGTGAGACATACGCGACGGCGAGGTACTGGTCCAGGCCGGTGGCGGCGATGAACTGCTCGACGGCCGCCTCGTGCTCGCCGAGGGTGGCGTAGATGAGACCCATGTTGGTAAGAATCTTGGACGAGTCGGCGATCTTGGAGAACTGGTCGAGCGCCTTCTCAAAGTCCTCCTCGTCGTACGCCTTGAGCGCGGCATCCCACGTCTCGAGCTCGGCCTTGAGAGACATATTATCGAAGTTTGAGGTTTAGAGTGTAAACGAAAGAGCGAGGTTGGGGTTGAGGACGGGACGAAAACGCGTGCCAGCCGCGAGGGTGTTTGGTGTCTTGCAAGGTCGTAGAACGGAACGAAGAAGAGTCGTGCGCGGCTCTTGTACTCAAGAGCGCAGATGGTCGTTAGGCGAAGAGGCACCGGTCCCTTGGGACGCGCCCGTTTGAGAGCGGCCCCGCTTATACGCGTCTGCCGTCCCCGCAGCTCGCGTTCCCGGCATCGCCTTACAGATCCCATCCGCTCGCCATCCCCCGCATCTCCATCATCTCCATCAGCCCGTCTACTCCAGACGCACCGAGACTCGATCTTCCTGTGCTCGGGCGCCTCAAAGGAATTCGGCGGGTACGCTACTTTTAGAGCCGTGGTGCTTTGTGTTTAGGCTCTGCTTCTTTAGACTGCGGTTCTCATCGCGACGGGCACGTCGGTGCGAGCGACGTTGCCTTTGACATCATCGTGGCCGCATACCGTACTCCCGCATCCGTATCGTACTTCCCGCCTGCTCGTGAATCCCGTAGGCATAGCCTTGAGCATGCTGTACGTCGCACATACGGAAACAGGGAATGAATCGGTGATTATGTACGCGGTGTCCGTTGTAGCTGCGGTGTGTACATCAGCGCCGTCTGTCGGATGGGGGTGATGCGACGTGCGGGGACAGCCTCGCGTCGGAGAACTGGTTATAATTAAAGCAATGTCTTCTCTACGCCCATAAGCATATTGCGCAGTCAATACGACGAGTGGCACTATAACCCTGTCCCGCTGCTGCAGACTGCAGTCCTGAGGTTGACAGGAACAACATGGTGGTAGTGCTCATATCCCTGGCTAGAATACCCTTCGGGCATCTCGGGGGAAGGACCTTTCCACCTTGAGATGAATGTACTCGAGCTAAAGGAAGCCTGCGACTAGGCTCTGTCATCCGCAAGTCTCTATTTCATTGCGATGTCATTTCAAAGGCCGGTAGCCGCAGGATTCATTCATCGATTGACGTTGGCTTAGCAAGAGTCTTCACGGGCGCAGGGTCCAAGGCGCTCTTGGTTCGAGATTTACTGTATCCACGTTAGACTTGCGAGGAGTAACGATGATCGTACGTTGCCATCGTACTTCGGCAATACAGTACCCGAGTCCGAGTTCCCCTAGGTGGTGCACCCGATACCTCAACGCGAGTACGATTCAATCTCAGGCTAGACGCGGAGGGCCCGGGAAAGTCAAATTGAGAACACCTACCATGACACTCGATACGGGACGTCTCTTGAAGCTTGAGCCCTCAATGACAGGTCAAAATAAAAACACAGAAAGTCCTACATTGCGCTTGCACAATACTCATCGCATCAACATCTCTCATAGATCCTACAAAAGCATCTCCTCCAACTTCTCCAACCTCTCATACGCGCCCTTCGCAGCCTTCACGAATAGCCTGATCTTCTCAACATCCTTCCCACTCCCATCCTCCCTCTCAACGCCCCCACTAACATCGACAGCCCACGGCCCAACAACTTCCACCGCCTCAGCAACATTGTCCGGACTCAGTCCGCCCGCAAGAATGACGGGCAACTCGCCCTCCTCCCCACCCGCACCAGCGCCCTCGCCCTTCTCGACTACACCCCTGACCAAGTTCCAGTCTACGCTCTTGCCACTCCCGCCGCTCAACCCGCCCGCGGTGGCTGCGGCGTCGAGTAGAACGTACTCGTGCAGCCCCGGCCGTGTCAGATCAGCCAGTCCGCCGCCGTTCGCGTCGACGTGGAACACACGTACAACTGGCACCGGAATCTGTTTCGCCCATTCTGCCGGCTCGCGCCCGTGTAGCTGGACCAGATCGAGTTGCGCCGCGGCTGCGACGTGTAGAACGAACGAGAGCGGTTGGTCCTGGAACACGCCGACAAGCAACGGTTTGTTCGGTGCGCGCGAGAGCCGCGCAGCGTTGCGGGCGAACCAGGGCAGCGCGTTATCCGATTCGAGAACCTCTTCGGCGGGCGGAGGAGCTTGTGCAGGTTTCGAAGCGCGTAGGGAGTGTATCGAGCCAGATATGCGTTGAGCCGTGGACAGCGATATACGTCTCTTCGACCTATCCGCGAACATCAACCCCAACAAGTCCGCGCCAGCATCAGCAGCCGCGAGCGCCTCCTCCTCATTCCTGATCCCACAGATCTTGACAAGCGGTGGGACCTTCTCCTTCGCCTTCTGTTTCTCGTCGGGAAGACCGAACAGTTCGCGGACGAGTGCGGCGGGTGATGGAGCGCGCATGAGCGCTTCGCCTACGAGGACGGCGCGGACGCCTTGCTCTGTACATGCTTTGACGTCGCGGCGTTCGGTGATACCGCTCAACGCGCATAGAACGACGTTCGAACCGCGGCCCTTCACCATCTCCGCCAACCGCGCCGTCGTGCCCATGTCCACAGCAAACGAATGGAGATCGCGGTTGTTCACGCCGATCAATTTGGCGCCGAGCGTGAGAGCGGCGTCCATCTCGCGCGGGGTGTTGACTTCGACCAGAGGCTCCATCCCGAGCTTCACGCTGTAGTCGTAGAGAGTCTTGAGACGGTCGGAGGGGATCATCGCAACGATGAGCAGGACGCTGTCTGCGCCGTTGAGACGCGCTTCGGCGATTTGGTATTCGTCGAGGATGAAGTCTTTGCGCAGGACTGCGGGGCGGTTGGGAAGACCGTCGAGCGCTTGGCGCGCGAGACGTAGGTCCGCGAGTGAGCCGGCGAACCAGGTCGGCTCTGTGAGGACGGATACAACTGCAGCGCCTGCCGCGGCGTATGCGCGTGCCAGTGCGGGAGCGCGTGCGCCGGGTGCGATGGCGCCGCGGGAGGGGCTTGCGCGCTTAATCTCGGCCATCAAAGCCGGTTCGGGCGCGTGTGGCGCGGAACGGATACGCGCGACGATGTCGATGGCTGGCGGGGCCAGGTGCATAGCCAGAAGAGCATCGAGGTCGGCGGGTGAGGCACCGGGCAACGCCTTTGCTGCTGCAACGTCTTTGAGGCGTTGCGTGTGGATTTTCTCGAGTACACTTTGTGCTCTGCCTGCATCCTCCGGGATTGCGCTTTCGAATGGTGGGAGTGATGGCTCAAGTACAGCAGCATGCGGGTTCTCGGCCCAGGTTCCGCCGTTGAGCGCGAGGAAGTTGCGAATGAGGTCGTCGCCGGATTCGGAGAGGATGCTCTCGGGGTGGTACTGTACGGCTTCAACTGCGAGCGTGCGGTGTCGGACGCCCATGATCACGCCGCTTTCTTCGGTTACGGCTGTCACTTGGAGCGCGTCGGGGAGCGTGCGGACGTTTGCGCTTAGAGAGTGGTAGCGCGTGCTGAGGAAACCTTGGGGTGCGCCGCGGAGGCAGCCACGGTTGTCGTGTCGGACGCGAGAGAGTTTGCCATGTTTGATTTCACCGGCGTAGCTGTACATACTGTCAGCGTATAGTAGGGAGGATAGCAGTGAGCGCAACTCACGAGATCTCGCCGCCGAAAACGTCCACGAGGCACTCAAGACCCATGCAAACACCCAGTACAGGCTTCTTTCCCGCAAAGTACTTGATAGCCTCACGACTGATTCCAGAGTCCGTGATCGGGTGGCCAGGACCGGGTGACACGATGAGGGCACGGATGTCGAGGAGCGGAAGCTGGGCGGCGGTGATCGCGTCGTTGCGCACGACGGTCACATCTGCGCCGAGCAGGCAGAGCGACTGGTACAAGTTCCACGTGAACGAGTCGAAGTTGTCGATCATAAGCACGTCGAGTGGGCGCGCGAGTTGCGCGGGGAGCGCAGGGACGCTTTCGGTTGAGGTGGTCGCGGCGGAGGACATGGTGAACGGGTAGGGTGTACGTGCTGGAGAAAATTAATGGGCACCTCATTTATGTGTAAGATACGTTGTAGAACGTACCACTAGTAATGTTAGAGGGCGATGCAACAAATCACCCAGGAGCAGTCGGAACGATTCGTTCTAAACAGGGAACGGGCGGAAAGCACAGATGCGGGTACACCGGCTTCTTATCAAGCCTTTTGGATCTAGCACTCGAGTAGATACAGAGAAGATACCCAGAGGATACGTAGCGATGCCTGGGCAACACGAACTCGAGAGCACGCCGAGCAGATGAGTGTCCGGAGGAAAAGAGCACGCCGACTTGACTCGGCGCGGAAGCATGAGTCTGTTCGGGTTTATCGGCGTACACAACCGCCCACATCGCGATCACTTCTTCATCAACATCTTATCTCGGGTTAGCACGAGGCGCGATGACCGAACGATGACTGGTCCCTGGAACGCCCGCTTGGACTCGCACCATCATCGTCCTCCATGAGCACGCTTTCGCCTATTCCTTCCATTCACAGTACCAGTTATGGCTCATCTTTCGCCTGAGGAGATGCTCAGCACCAGAAGTTATCCATCCTGTGCATGGCACTTCTGCAGTTCGGCCGGGTCATCGCGCGGTCAACCCTTCTACACAGCATCGCTGGCCGCATGACCCAACCCAACCCTCTTTGTCCACCAGATACTCACCGGCAGAAGGAATGATGCACGCAGACCGTGTTTCATAGTAAACTGTGGCATTCAGCCTGCCTTACAACGGAACCGCGTCAGCTTCTGCGGATGTGAACACTTCGGTACGTACTGCATTCCATGGAGACAAAGAGAGTACGTGGAGATGTTGACATGCCTCTGTGTCTTCCATCACTCCGTATAGGAAGAGAAACGATGGTGATTCGCTTCCACCGCATGGGAGACGATAGCTACTACGACAGGGTACAACTCATAAAGCGTCGGGCAGGCCTGTTAAGGTGCTCAGACTACCTCGACAGTCCTCAACATCATGAACGCGGTCGACCCTACCTATCCCTTGTTTCCCATCGCCGAGGTCATATCTTCGGCGATGCTGCTTTTAGTGCTCTTGAACAGCTACCTACGACACAACTGGAACCTGGGCGTCGCGTTCTTATGTTTTTGGCTCTTCCTGGAGAACCTCATGAATGCTGCGGGTGCAGTCATATGGTCCGACAACGCCGACATCAAGCTGTATGCGTACTGCGATATCGGTGCAACCTTGTCCTATTGCATGCCAAGTGGCTTAGCTGAAGCCTGAGCATCCTGTAGTGTCACATTTGCAGATGATTGTCTACGTCGTAAAGCCCATGGCGACTCTCATCATCACTCGTCGACTGTACTTGGTCATCAGCGACCACTCCGTAGATTCCTCCTCCAAAGCTGCGGTGTGTCTCAAGTCGATTCGTGCTCTCTACTTTGGCTGACATTCGGATGGCAGAGGCGTAACCTGGTCGTAGAGTGGACTCTGGGTCTGGTTATACCCCTGCTTGTCGCAGGTCCCATATGTGAGCACTCGCCACTATACACTCGTGGAGCTTGTACTAATCTCGATCCCAAGACTACATCCATCAGGCGTTCAGATTCGCAGTCGACGAAGGCTTCGGATGCGGAAATAGTATCATACCGTCTATACTCGAACTCCTGACCCTAGAATCATGGACTGTAGTTCCTCCTCGCGTATCCGTCATCTTTTACTATCGTAAGCCGCACCTTGCTATTTTCACCAGCGTCACGTTCGGCTGAATTGGAACCATGTCTGATGTTAGCAAGAGTGATACGGTTGTTCTACAGACAAAGCCGAGTCTCCGACAGCTTCGTCTGCAGTGGCAATAGCTCGACGATAACGCGGACGAGCTACTTTCGGATCCTCATCCTCGCCAGCATCGACATCCTCCTCACTTTACCCTTTGGTATCGTTAGTATCGTCCTCACTATAACCGCGGCACTGTCCCCTCCGGCATACTACCCTTTCTATCCCGGCTGGACATACTTGCACACGGACTGGGAGCCTGTGGCATACACCTACGCCGACACCATAGCGGGAGGAATATCCAATCTCGCTCAGCTTTACTTCGCCCAATGGACGTCTCCTGTACTCGCCTTTGTCATCTTCGGTCTCTTCGGCTGGACGGCGGAGGCCCGGCAGTCATACTGGGACGTCGTCTGCACCATTGGAGCCTGGTTTGGCTGGAAACAGAACGCGCGGAAGAATGGCCATCCTGCATTCGAGTCACTTGGCGAGATGCAGTTCGGCACGCGGCCCCTGGATACGGTTCAGGACGTAGAAACGGGGTGCGCGTCGTCTTTTCTGGCTCTTGTTGCATTTGACTGTGTCTGACATTCTTCGCGCAGTACGCCACCCCCAATATATCGAGCATCGATGACAGACAAGGACACCCGATACGCACCACACGAATGTGAGCCAGACCGTTGTCAGTGAGCTATCGGAGGAACGTAGGGAGCCAGGGTGGCATGCTTCGATTCGCATTCATAGTATGGTTATTGGCATACATACAACTGTATATATAGAAAAGATGGTAGTAGTAGCGATCGATCAAGTCAAACGTCAAACGTTGGTGAGAGCCGATTGACTCTATCAGGAGGGGATGCCGGCCAACTGCCCTAGGGCTATGATGGTGGTCCTACAAGAGAACGCGACGCGTTCGCTTGCGCTCTCTCGTCGCTGCTCTCGCCCTCACTCTACGTTCCCTCATGCCCTGCCCCACCATCAAGAATCACGGGGCGCGCGATGCCATGAAGTGCAAGTTGTAAACCTCAAGGGACTATGGTGAGTACGTGGTCAATATTTGACGCATGCTTGGGGAGCTGCTGGAGGTTAGAAGGGAGAGGTTGAAGAGATGACGGAACGACCGTTGCTTGTCATGGTTGACGAGCAAGAGTGTCGAGCCGACTGGCAGTCAACTCGCGGCCGTAGCGCGCTTCGCGGTGCCTTACGTAGTTAACTGGGTTCTCGCGCATCGGGCTTATCTCCGATGGGGACGCTCGGGCTCGCAGCTGAACTGAACCACCACTGTTGTCGCAGAGGTAGCGCCCGTGCCTTCAACGTTCTTGCGCGCTGGAAAAGGAATGGCATCTTGGGCATGCGGTGCTCCCACCCGTCTCACCTGGCGCGAGCGCGCGCATGGCGCTCTCAGCTTGCAAGTAAAGCGCTCATTCCGGGCGCTGGTGAAGCTGTCCGTCGCCTGTACCGGGACCACACTTCATGTTACTCTCAATATGGACGTGGGCGGTGTATAGGAGACGCTCTGGCCGACTAAGTCATGGATGGACGGCGCCTATTGCGTGGAGGCGCTGTAAGCGTGCGACCATATAAACATGACACTGGGCGCTTCTCTGCACAGGACAGTTCTACCTGCTTCTACTTCTGTCTCTCATCGCGGGTCCACCTCTCACTCACGGATCGGACAATCACTCTTCTTAGACACCCGAATACCCTCAAGCGACTCCACCTTCTTCAACATGGTTTCTTCGTACGCACTGGACTCGATGATAAGGCGCTCAGCTGATGTAGTCCGCATCCAGACGATGTATCATCCGTCCTCATGAATCCGGTACAGAACCGGAGCATCCGTTGGGAAAGGCGATACGGATTCGTCTTGATCGTGAGTGATGATACCGGAGGGGGTCCGCCTGTGACTATAGTGTTGACGACCGCTTCAAGTTGATGGGTGCAAAGATCTACCTCGCCCGCAGACTACGGTCGGGAATATCGATACCTGTTGCTTGTACGATGTTACCTTTGAGTTCATCTCAAGTTCGAAGGGCGCGGCTATCGTTCAGTCAGAGAGGGCATACGAAGGGAGGGGATTCCTTCGGGGCACGGTGCAATGGGACGAGACTTTCTATATGTGCGTGCATTATCACCAAAGGGCCCCCTTCGGATGCTTTCTCATCTCATTCGCAGTGACTGTTTTGAGCTCAGTTATATCAGAATCTTCCTGCGTCCTCATGGGTCCACGAATCATGCTTGGGGTCGTGGACCATGCTCGACGTCCGTATCTGTTGCGGCGCTTCTCTCGCAGTCCTCAGGTACGCATCGATCTTTGCTGCTGCACTCGCACAGAGGGATCCACGATAAACTTAGTTCATATTCACAGTACTGCTTGATGCTTACGAGCAACCGGGTACGAGCTGTACACTGTATGTCTCTACCAGTCAAGTCCAGCAACAGTGTGCCTCCGGTTCTCGCCACATTTTGGGGGCGCGGCATGACCTGTACACAGGACCAACATCGGCCACAGAGTCTATTCTTGGCGCCATACGCCAATTATCTTACTTCTTAGAGACGTTACGCCAGTTTAAGGTATGCAAGCAGCGTTATACGGGCATGATGTTGTAGGCTGACATGACGTTCAGGTTGATGTGACGGCCGGATATTCGATGCATTTGAGCATGTACGGAGCTTATGAGGTCCTCATATTCAAGCGATTCGCGCCAGATGCCATGCTCACGATCTGATTCGCTAGAGAGCTCAACGCCTTAAATCAAGGCGTCGCCTAAAACTGGTTAGAATGCTCGCCGTCGTGACAGGCATTATGGATACCGTTTCAAACTTGCCAATTGCACAAGCACGTAATAAGCGAGATTCTATCGCAGCCCTCATGACTGAATTGAATGTCTGGATACAATTCGTGGAGATCCTCGCGTCGAGAGGCCTCTCTAATGGTCAGCATTTCTGGTTTCGTTGTCCTGTGTATCAATCAGGGTGTTTAAGTGCATCTTCAACCAGATAACGACTCCGAACAAGAGTTGGCCAATCTCACTGTGGTGATCATTACGCCCGATCCACTTGCTGGCCCAAGCAGCGCAACGGCCGTTACCCTTCGCGACACGATAACCAGAACGATAGCAAAGGACGCCCTCCTCTTGGCTCTCGAAGCCATCGTACAGTCTTCCGACGCCTTCCCGCCACTGAAGAGCGCAGCGAGCGGATTGCTCTTCTTCGTGACCTGCGTAGATGTGAGTACGTCCTTGAGCATCCATATTAGCTGTAGGTCTGACTCGGCCCAGGTGGCATCCAGCAATAAGAAGCAGATCCGCGACGTGTATAGGCGCATCGACGGCTTAGCCGCATCCCTCGAACGCGGAGCCCGCCATGGAGATCCGCTGTCCCCAGCACATCAGGAGATCGCTGCAGTTCTGGCCCGGTAAGCGATCCATAGCCTGTCTGAAGCTGTATAGCTAACACTAATATCGCCTAGAGATATCGCAGTACTAAACGAAGATCTTCAAGACATCGTCTCCGAGCGCAAGAGCCGATTCAAGACGTTCTTCAGCGCGAAGAGGCACCGCGAGGAGCTGCAAGACATTCTTTCGCAACTCGAAGCGGCAAGGTTGAACTACACCGTGAGCAGATTCCGTCATCCGCCTCGGATTCGCAATGTTGATACGCTGTCAGACTGCGATCGCGACGCTCAATGCGACGACGAATGCACGTGTTCTCGCTCACGTTCAGGCTATAACGCTAGTCATGGGAGTCGGACCGGTACAGACGCCCGGAACGGGTCGAGCAGAGCATATAGCGTCCATGTTCAGGTCGGCGCAGATCGAGGAGGTCGGCATCTGAGGGTGCAGGGCCGGTCGAAGATGTGGCGGCTCGGCTCGTATACACCATACGTAGACAGTTTATACCCGAATCGACGAAATATCGGATGAGTGCTCAACACAGCCCTGAGGTTGACTTCGATGGCTTAGTAGCTGTGATGTAAGCACCATAAATATGTGTGGGCGTTGCGCCATCGTAGGAGCCAAGCGCCAATTGCAAGCTCGGCGACGCGGAATCGCGTTCCGGCGCGTGCACTGAGATTACCTCTTGATCGAGATCTTATCTCCGACGGCGTGGGGCCGCGACCGCGACCGCGACGCGCGCTCGAACTTGGGCCGGAACCACCACTATGGTCGGGGAGAGCGACGCCGTGGCTTCGACGTTCTTGCGCACAGCAGACGTTTCAATCGCAGTGGCGAGCGAGCCATTCATGCACTGTTGATATCCGACTCGAATGCAGCTACTCATGCTGTTCGCCAGTCTGCGAAACGAAGTGCGCCGCACCACTCCGGAGGGATGGTGAAGCTTCCCGTCATCAGCAACGGGTAATGGAAATAGGCTTCCCATTCTCTCGACATCTATGTAGAGAATGCGTAGAAGACAGTATGCGTTTTCGGCAGCGTGTATAAACGGCCCTTATAGCGCAGAGGCTCTGCACGCGTGCGATCGTCTCAGCGTCTAACAGGCATGAGGCCAGTCGCTGCCCGCCCTAGGACCCCACTACCTGCCTCTCCTTTCACCACGACTCCATTTCCCACTTCTGAACACTCGCGGCTTCACTCGTCCTCCCCACACTACTTCCACCTCGTTCAATGGACGAAGCACCTGCTCCATACGCATCGAGCCTAACGTGTTGTCAGACTCAGCTGGACCAGTCTACATTCAGACGAGCTACTTTGGGTCCTCATATCCCCCGTAGACAACTGGAGCACCCACTAGGGAAGGAGATCCGGATTCGTATTGTTTGTGAGAGTGCGCGCTTTGGGTGTGCGGCAGCCATTTACTATTCTCAAGTGGACGGGTGTCAAGGCTTACCGTCCGTTGAGGATTCACCCAGAGATCTCGACACCTATCGCCGGTTTCGATTGAAGATCGGCTACATCTCAAATCTCTATGAAATAGACCATTATCAGAGTAGCTCGAGAGCATGCGAGGGGCGAGGGCTCCTTCAGAATACAGTGCAATGGAACGAGACTTTCTACATGTGAGTACAAAAGGGTCCTTCTTGCGTGTTGTGTGAGCTCATTATACCGGTAGTGATACTTTTGAGCTCAGTCTCATCAAATTTGCCTTGTATGATCAACGTGGCGAGTGTGGTTATATAACTTCTTTGACCGTCAAGGAGCTTCCGTCACACTCTTCTGGTACGTACTCTCTGCTAAACGCAATGGTCAGACAAGCGGAAGCATACCGTTTGCCTTATGCCTAGTGCGACTTTTCAGCGGTGATGACCTCGACCCTCGCTGTGTACTGTCGCTCTCAGCCATCTCGATCATCCCCGGTTACAACAATGAGCAGACTCGCGACTTCATGTCAGGCTACAGTGTCTGGCAAGTGCCGCACATTGACCTGTATAGTGGCTTGGCACACTTGGCCAACTTCATGTCTATTTCAATCCGCCATTTGTACCTCGTCACGGAAGTGATTCGTCGGTGGAAGGTACAGTACTTGCAACTCGCGATCAATCCTAGCGACCACTTCAGAGTACTCTGACATAGCCTTTAGATCAGTATAAGAGAGGGGTTTTTCATGCTCAAGAACATGTACTTCGGGTACAAGGTGTTTACTATATCTCGCAATACACATTCGATGCTCTGCTGATCATATACTCATTTGGATTCTCCGAGGGCTTTCGTTGGAGGGTGCCAAGGTGTTTACACACTGCGATGTTCATCTGATTCTATGCTCATCGTTCCTCCTTTAGAAGTTTTCGGAGATATGGTGGACACAGAGACAGGACATGGATAAGATATTCACTATCATCATGGAAGTCACAGATACAGTCTTGCGACTACCTTGGACAAGTGCACGGAGAAAAAAAGACCCTCTTGCGGATCTCATAAAAACCTTTTACTTCTTGCTAGTCCCTATGGTCGGAGGTGTTAATCCGCATAGGCTTCGAGGTGAGTGACATATGATCTTCTCGTTCCACGCCCCGATCTGATACTTTCGGGATTCTGCTCGAATCCATGAACATGAAGGAGAGTTAGCCAGACTCGTCCTGATCATCATCACACCGGATCCACTCGTCGGTCCAAGCAGTACTTCGGCTGGCTCTCATCGTAGTGCGATATACGGGACCATAACGAAGGACCTCCTCCTGTTGACTCTGGAAGGAATCGTCCAGTCCTCCGACGCCTTCCCGCCGCTCAAGAGCGCAGCGAGCGGATTGCTCTTCTTCGCTACATGTGCAGACGTGAGTACATGATCACAACACAAGTTCAAGGTACTCATATCGTCATAGGTGGCTTCGAGCAACAAGAAGCAGATCCGCGACATCTACAGGCGCGTCGACGCTCTGGCCGCGTCGCTCAAACGCGGAGTCCGCGACGGCGATCCGCTCTCCCCAGCGCATCAAGACATCATCGCCGCTCTCGCGCAGTAAGGCGTCCCACATCTCTTGAAAAGCCTCGTATCTCACAGTATCATATAGGGACATCGCCATCCTGAACGAAGATCTCCAAGACATCATCGCCGAGCGCAAGAGCCGCTTCAAGCGGTTCTTCAGTGCCAAAAGACACCGCGAAGAGCTGCGGGACGTGCTTTCGCAGCTCGAAGCGGCAAGGATGAGCTACACAGTGAGTATGAGCCTTCATACGTGCTTCATATCTGCAATGTTGACGCGCTATCAGACTGCAATCGCGACGCTGAACGCGACGACGAACACACGGGTGCTTGCGCACGTCCAAGCTTTGACGTTGACCATGGGCGTCCGGCCGGTGTACATGCCTGGAACGGGCTGGGCTGGTGACAACGTATTGCCGTTTATGCAGGCTCGGATTGAGGAGGTCTGAGAGGGGAGGCGGAGGGGTATCGTGACACGGAACAGTCGTCGGCAGCAATGAGATGCGCGTTTGTGAGTGCGGAAGGACTCGTGGTAGCATGATATGTGCTTTTGCTTGACTTGTGCGCCTGGGAATAATTCGATCATGGAGTAGTATGTGTTGGCTTTCGAGCGTGAGGCTAAAGTATTGAGATAGACCAGTGGTAAGAGTCAGATTGCGCCTGCGATATAGCGCTCCGTGCGCGCGGAGGCTGTGAGCCATTGGTCGAGGTGTTGTGCGTTGCATCGGCAGAAAGGCCGTACAACGTTGGTGGCACATTCAAGTTAAGAGACCAGAGCAGGTTCAATTGACGCTTCTGTGAGAGTGGACGGTAAAGCACCGCGCACATCGTGGTATAAAGCCAAGTGGCAAGCGCCGGACGCGCCGCGATCAGTGGCGCGCGGCGCGCGTATGCCGCGAACTTTTTTGCGCGGCGCGTCCGGACTTGCGCACGCCCACCACCTCTCCTCCCTCTTTCTCTCTACGCCTCTGTCCTCAGCGCCCATCCTACTCTACTCTGCGCCATGGGACTCGCCGGCCGCAAACAAAAACAGCGCATCGGGCACGACCCGCGCAACCTCGCCTGGGCAGACGGTACGCTCCCTCCCTCCTCCCCCACACACGCCCCAGCACTCGGTCTGACTTGGATAATCCGTGTACAGACGCGGCGAAATTCGGCCAGCAATACCTCTCCAAATTCGGCTGGGACGCCTCGAAAGGGCTGGGCGCCTCGGGCGAAGGCCGCACCTCGCACCTCAAAGTGTCCCAGAAACTGGACATGCTGGGCATAGGACACGCGCATCAGAATTCGCCGGACGGGATCGCGTGGAAGCAGAATCGGGATTTTGAGAATCTGCTTAGGAGGTTGAATGGCGGTGAGGGGGAGAAGGAGGTGGGGACTGCTGTTAGTGGGTTTGATCGGGCGAAGGAGGGTGAGGTGGAGGGGGATGAGGAGGTTGGGGAGAAGAGGAAGAGAGTTGATGCGGAGGGGGAGGTTGATGAGAAGGAGGCCAAGCGGAGGCGGAAAGAGGAAAAAACAAAGCGGAAGGAGGAGAAAGCGAAGAAGAAAGCCGCCAAGGAGGAGAAGGAGTCGAGCGAGTCTGAGCCAGAGGCACCCAAACCCGTCGTCGTGCGCGCACCGTACGTACTATTCCACTCTACCCGTGCTCATAATATAAAGTGCTAATCATATACATTCAGACCACGCTCGCACCGCGCCCGACACATCCGCATGAAACGCCTCGCCGCGTCCGATAGCGCTGCGATGTCCGAGATCCTAGGCGTATCATCCTCCTCAGTCCCCTCCACACCCGTCCCCGTTTCCACCTTAACATCAACATCCGACGAACCCGAGCACGCGCCGCTGGAGAAGCTTACGACGTCGACGTTCTCCGTAGCCGATTACTTCAAGGCGAAGCTCGCAGAGAGGAGTACGGCTAAACGGCCTTCGGCTTCGAGTACGCCTGTGGTGAATGATGATGATGAGGAGGAGAAGCCGAGGATGGGACTAGGCATGCGCGCGCGCCCTGCCGATGAGGAGGACAGTACACCGCGCATGGGCCTGGGCTCGACTTCGAAGTTCGCTTCCATGGCTATGTTCGCGCCTGCTCAAACATCCGCGACAGTCGTCGAAGAGAAGGAGGTGGCGATACAGGACGACGTTGTTGTTGTCAAGGAGGAGGTCATTGTCGAGAGCGTAGACGGACAGGACGAGGAGAAGTCGTCGAAGGAGGAGAGGCGCAAGGCGAAGGAGGCCAGGAAGGCGGAGAAGAAGCGGTTGAAGGCTGAGCGGAAGGCGGCTGAGGAGGAGGCTGCAGTAGCGGAGGAAGCTCGAGGTATGTTTTGACTTCCATATATGCGTCCGCACGTTCGTACTGACTGGCATTACAGCAGAAGAGCCGACGAAGAAGCGGAAATCAAAGAAAGACCGCTCTTCGAAAAAGCAGAAGGAGTCCGAGGACTCTTCGTAGCTCTCGTTCTTCGCTTGAGCTTACACACTACTTGTCGTCTACCTTCCTCTCCCTCTTGGATCGGTCCACTTGCTGTTGTTTGTCTGTTTGTATGCACTTGCTATCGCGATCGATGCCAGTTCACGTTTTAGCATCTTCCTACCGCCGCGCCACATGCCATCAATATGGAGTGCATCGTCATACTTGATCCTCTTCTCACGCGAGCCATACTACAGCGACCTGCTTGACTGAAAAATCTGCTCCTGAACCTTGCCTGAACCACCAGTGAAAGCAGGTGGGATATTCGGCCCACCGGCCCGAGGTGCGCTGCGCCGCGAAGGCGAGCAGCCCTGCTGTCTTGAGCCCCGACCACGGTCCATCGTACCTGCACTAAAGCACTCTCCGCACCCATCCTGCCGCACGACACCATGCGCGACGTCATGCAATCTTTCGAGCTCAGGATCGCACCAGCACCATGACCGCGCGCGAGCATTGACGCCGACATCCAACCGACATCTCCAAGCTATCAGTCTGTCCTGCAGCCTGGACCAGTTGAACGTCGCCAGACGAGGGATACGTCACAGGTCCGGACGACGAGTACTTATGCTAGTGCGCGCTTGATCAGCGCGGGCTCTATCACCAACGTACTCTCACAATCATGGCCGACGTACCCCACGCAACGTTAAACACGGGAGCCAAGATCCCCCTCGTCGGCCTCGGGTATATCCTGCATAGAACTGTTACTCTGACACTGAGCTAACGTGGTTGTGTTGTGGGTGTGCAGATGCTGGATGGGTGAGCCCGGTGGAGGCGAGCGCGCGTACGAGATGACGAGGAAAGCTATCGCAGTGCGTATCCCTCTCTCCTCCTCGCGCCTGCGTAGATTGCTCATTATGCGCGTATAGGCCGGGTACAGGCACATCGACACCGCGGCGGGCTACGGTCAGTCCCCCATCCTCCCCCTCGTCGTATCATACACAAACGCTCACTTCTCCCTCTCCCGCAGCCAACGAAGAATTCGTAGGCAAAGCGATCCGCGACTCCGGCCTCCCGCGCTCCCAATTCTTCATCACAACCAAACTGAACAACACGCACCACCATACCGTCTCCTCCGCCCTCACCTCCTCCCTGCACGCCCTCGGAACCGACTACGTCGACCTATACCTCATGCACTGGCCGCAAGCCGTCGTAGACGGCCGAGTCCTGCAGCCGGACGAGAAGCCAACCATCAACGACACGTGGGCGGAGATGGAGAAGCTGTACGAACAGGGCAAGGCGAAGAACATTGGTGTCAGCAATCTCAGCGTGCGGAATCTGCAGAGGCTGCAGAAGACGTGGACGGTCGTGCCTGCGGTCAATCAGATCGAGATGCATCCGTTTTTGCCGCAGGAGGAGACGAAGGCGTGGTGCGCGGCGGAGGGGGTACATTTGACTGCGTACTCTCCGATCGGTACGTGTGTCCCGCGCGCGTTCAGAGTGCTGTATTGCTCACGGGAGGCGATGATTGCGTATGTAGGTCAGCCGAGTGAAGGATCGAAAGCGCCCTCGCTACTGAAGACCGACCTCGTCGTGCAGCTCGCGGAGAAGTACGGCGCTACGACCGGCCAGATCTTGCTCAGCTGGGGCGTGCAGCGCGGCACGAGCGTTATCCCCAAGAGCGAGAACGAGGAGCGCTTGAAGAAGAACATCACCGTGCGCTCTTCCCGTCTCTTGTGCGGTTCTGGTGTCCGATACTGATTGCGCTCTTACAGATCGTCAAACTCGAAGACGCGGATGTCAAGGCGATTGACGAGCTGCATAAGCAGCCGGGCTTGCACCGCTCGGTACTGGGGTACCACACTGATGCCGGAGTACATGGATGGACACACGAGCAGCTCGGCTGGCCGTTCGATGCAGAGGGCGTCGTCGTGAAGTCCTAGATCATACACAAAATCGATTCCTGTCGTAGACGCTGTATGTCATCCGAGCACGCCAGAACCAGGTCATGCTACACCACATCTCGATGTGATTCGCACCGGAGTCGCGGACTGCCTGCGCGGGGACGTAGCGCTCGAGCCTTTGCTGGATGGGGAGCGCGCATGGAGCAAACAGCGGGTGCGGCGTTCGCGGGCTGTCTTGATCTGTTGATTGCTCCTCCCTTTAGCGCGCTGCCGATGATAACGGTGATACGAGTAGTAAGGAAGATTGCTAATGCGGTTACGCTGTATAAGTATAGCCGGCCAATATCGTCCTCTGTTCAACCCCTCTAACACAGATTGATCCAAACACCATCTACCGAATATGTCCTTTGCACCTACAGCTGCTCTGAACACCGGCGCGAAGATCCCTTTGGTTGGCTTGGGGTATGTGTGTTCCTACATCTTCCACTCGGGACGGTTGACCGACGAATGGCTCAGATCCTGGATGGGCGCGCCCGGTCCGGGCGGCGAGCGCGCGTACGAGATGTGTCGAAAGGCCATCGACGTATGTGATCATCGCTCGATGACCTCTGCCCTACATACTGATCGCAAGGACAGATCGGCTACAGACACCTCGACACCGCAGCCGGATACGGTGCGATTCATCTCCTTTCCTATACTAGCGGACGCTGGCACTGATGATGAAACTCATGTGCTAGCGAACGAAGAGGCCGTCGGCAAAGCGATCCGCGACTCGGGCATCCCCCGCTCCGAGTTCTTCGTAACGACCAAGCTCGCGCAGGACCGACACCACACCGTCTCCGCCGCCCTCTCCGAATCCCTGTCCAAGCTCGGACTCGACTACGTCGACCTCTACCTCATCCACTGGCCCCAGGCCATCGTCGACGGCAAGACGCTGCAGCCCGAAGAGCATCCCACGATCAACGACACGTGGGCGGATATGGAGAGGGTGTACGAGGAGGGCAAGGCGAAGAGTATCGGCGTTAGCAATTTCAGCGTCAAGACGCTGGGGCAGCTGGAGAAGACGTGGAAGGTCGTGCCGGCTGTGAACCAGATCGAGGCGCATCCGTTTTTGCCGTGGCACGAGCTTGTGCCGTATTGCCAGGCGAAGGGGATACACGTTACGGCGTATTCGCCGCTCGGTGCGTTGTCGTCTGGGTCGACTCGGCGTATCTTCAGATTGCTCATTGAGGTGGATTAGGTCAACCTGGCGGGGCGGAAGGTGTACCGTCTCTCGTGACTAACGAGCTGATTGCGGAGATTGCGGAGAAGTATGGTGTCACGACGGGCCAGATCTTGCTTAGCTGGAACGTCCAGCGCGGGGTGAGCGTCATCCCGAAGAGCGAGAAGGAAGATCGGTTGCGCAAGAACATCACCGTGAGCTCTCCTTGGGCATTGTGCTGTCGAAGGCACGGTCTTTGCTGACGGTTCTTGATTGTACAGATCGTCAAGCTCGAGGAGAAAGACGTCAAAGCCATTGACGAGTTGCATCGCCAGCCCGGGCTGCACCGCTCCCTGCTTGCTTTCATCCATAGCGAGGATGGTGTATTCGGGTGGACGTATGAGCAGCTGGGGTGGCCCTACAAGTTCAATGGCAAGGGACTCATCGAGAGCGCTTGAGTATGATAGCGTCCTGGCGTGTAGAACATTGTAGTAATAGTATCGATACGTGCGACCCGGTCGTTCTGGAAGCTCGTGACACTGTCAAGGCAGATGCGAGGCCTTCGATTAATGAGCTCAAACGGGCCCCTGCCGGAGCCAGCGACGTCAACGGTGCATCGGTACCCCACCATCGCCCTCTACAGGGGACAGCAAGGATGTATCTCGTCCGAAGGCCTTCCACTATGCGAAGAGTGCGAGGGCAAGGGCAAGCTCAACTATGTACCAATGGTGCGACTCCGTGAGAAAATAGGCGCATCGGTCCGGGCCGCGGAACGGGCAGTTCCATCAAGCGCCGCCACTCATCCGCAAGGTGCCATGACAGGTTCTCTTGCGTCTGTACGGTCATTGTCAAACCTGCGAAGATGAAATATGATCGTAATTGCTTCGCTAGGAGATCATGTCAGCTGCAAGTAGCCTGAGCCCGAAAGAAGCTTCTCGATGGCCAATGTTTGCTGCGTGAGTCGGCGCCGCCGTCAAGTTCGGCCTCTGTTCCCAGCTTATTGACGCTTTTGTATGCATACCTGCTTTTCGAAGTACCCCCGATTGAGGTACTACGAGACTATTCAGTGAATGTATACGTATGTCGCAGGCAATATTGATGCCTGTGAGACCGCGAACTCGCTTCCGCGCCTGCCACATCTCGCGGCGGTGCGCGCCGGAGGTACCCCCGGCTGCCAGCTAATACGAATTGCGAGCCTACTTCGTCGAGAGAGACATATAATGCATCTGTCGTCTACCAATCGTGTCGGTACTTCCCCTCGCTACCAAAGAGCTCTTCCAATCCCTCTCGCCGGAGTCGCCGCTACTTTCGCTTCACGGATATGGCCGAAGTTCCCCATGCGACCCTCAATACAGGAGCCAAGATACCCCTCGTTGGCCTGGGGTGCGTATCAGGGTTGTGGTAGCTCATAGTCTTCGACTGATCTGACGTGATGCAGCTGCTGGATGGGCGACCACGGCGGCGGAGACCGGGCGTATGAGATGTGTCGGAAGGCGACTGCAGTACGCACACTCGTCTGTTTGTCTCATCTCACAAGCTCACCATATACATAGCTGGGGTACAGGCACATTGATACTGCAGCTGGCTACGGTCAGCTTACACCCACCAATAGTGCGCCAGTAGTGCTGACTATCCGAATCTTAGAGAACGAGGAATCCGTCGGCAAAGCGATCCGCGACTCCGGTATCCCCCGCTCAGAGCTCTTCGTCACGACAAAGCTTCTCAGCGTGGACCACGCCAAAGTCTCCTCAGCTCTATCCGTCTCACTGTCCAAGCTCGGCCTAGACTACGTGGACCTATACCTGATCCACTGGCCGCAAGCCGCCGAGGGCGAGGGATGGCCATTCGATTGCAAGATCCTGCAGCCTGACGAGTTCCCGACCGTCAACGATACGTGGGCGGGAATGGAAGAGGTGTATCAAGCGGGAATGGCGAGAGCGATCGGCGTTAGTAACTTCAGCGTCAAGATGCTGGAGAGACTGGCGAGAACGCAGAAGGTCGTGCCGGCGGTCAACCAGGTCGAGATGCACCCGTTCTTGCCGCAAAATGAGCTCAGGGCGTACTGCGTGGACAAAGGGATCCATTTGACTGCGTACTCTCCACTCGGTATGTACTCCCACCGCTGAGTCGGAAGAGGTAGATATTCATCATAGCTTGTTTAGGTCAACCAGCCGCGGGTCAATCGCATTTGTGCACACAGAGTGACAACGATCTACCTTCGCTCCTCGAGGACAGCCTCCTCTCCCGTCTTGCGGAGAGATATGAAGCTACGATTGGTCAGATCATACTCAGTTGGGGCGTGCAGCGCGGAACGAGCGTTGTTCCGAAGAGTGAGAAAGAGGAGCGCTTGCGCAAGAACATCACGGTGAGCGATCGTTCTCTGCGGCGAATAGTCCTTGTTCACTAAGATGATCGCGCTATAGCTCGTGAGGCTGGCTGAAGAAGATATGAAAGCCATTGACGAGCTACACATGAAGCCTGGGCTACATCGGTCCATGTTAGCGTATCTGCACAGCGAGAAAGGTGTCTTGGGATGGACGTATGAGCAGCTTGGTTGGCCGTTCGATAGCAATGGAGTAGTGGTGCATGGGTAGAATACAAGTCGATAGTCGCGTAGCATGCGATACTCAACTCCTTCTTATAACATTGCAAGAGATCGCCAGTACAATGTTCGTGACAGGCTCGGCCGACCTCATTGTTGATTGATCCGATGAACTCCGATGGCCTGTCGCGTGTACCGGAGTCTGCTCCCCTTCCCGTATCTTGCATCAAACGCCGATTCCCGTATCTTGCATCAAACGCCGACCACCTTGTGAGCGAGGAACCGCGCTCGTCCTCCATGACAGTGACCATAGTAGCCGGCACATTCCCGTCGCTCTGCCTGCCATGAAGGCCAGTTGGCCAATTCCCGCTACGCTAGTAGTGGGTCTTGCCCTCGTGAATTCAACACTTGAAAATGGCTCAGGTTTCAAATCCCACGTAAATGTGCCTGGACTCGGCTCTTGCCGGGGTCATGGGATCCGCTCACAGATGCTTGCGCTCACCTCGAGTCGTTTGTCGTCTTCATATGTACCTCCATCCCTGCTCACTATACCGCGACAAACTCGCCAACTGCTGTTGAACATGACTACCTTGTCCCCATGCACCCCCACGCGGGCCCTTCTACGTACACTCATGCGGGTCGCTCTACACACACACCACCTACGTACGTGAACGCTCGCTTGCCCATGGCCTATCCATCTCATTCCTCACAAACACAGACCGCGTCCTCTCCAGCCACTGCCGATTCCTCGAGTTCTGCCGCTCTGCCTCCCATCATAAACGATATTCTGTCATCTGCATCTCCCCTCCCCTCCGCTCCCTCTTTCTCGCTCCTGACACAATCATTTGCAACACTCTCCTGCCGTCCTCATACAGCACATCCTGTCTGGTGCATGTTTTCATTTCCCTCATGCCCCCCCCCCCCCC